GTGCTCTTTCTCCATCGCCAAGTTGCTTCTCAAGGAGCAGCAGGTGTAAGACCTGTCCCCTTCGTCCCACTTCCTTCTCCTGGACTCTGTCACCTGCTTGGTCCTGTCTGCCCCGGTCACCTGTGGGAGCTGGGCATCTAGAGGCCTAGGAGGGGGCATGCCCAGGGCAGGGCAAGAGCAGAGCAGACAGGGGCCGCTGGGATCGGGCCTCCACCCCGATCGGTCTCGGCTCGGTCTGCCTCTGCAAGTCTATAAATTCCATTATTCATCCAGTGATGGTATGAGTTTGCCCAGACGATGAATATTTTATTCACCTCCACACACTGTCCCCAGCGGGTTCTTGGAACAATATTGTCCCCCAGCCAAGGAGCAGAGGCCAGCGCCTCTGCCCTCCCTGGACACCCCTCCCTCACCCCGCTGACCTCCTGCGACCCCCAGCAGCCCCCCTGCTCAGGCTGGGCTGAGGTCAGCAGTCCTGACACGACCTTGAGCTTGGTGCTTGCCCTCCTCCACTTTGACTTCCTCCTCTGGACAATGGGTTCATTTATTGCCTTATCAGGCTCTGCGTGTCCCGCAATAAATTCTCCCTACTCTGCAGGGCCCTGCGGCTGCCAGGAGCTCTCCCTGGTGCTGAACGCGCGGTGAGAGGATGCTGGCCTCAGAGCAGCGGTCCCCTCCTGGTCAGGGAGGGTGGGGAGCAAACTGGCCTCGACAGGAGAGAGATCCAGCCCCCCCCCCCCCCCCCGCTCAGGATGGTCCCCACGTCTTTCTCCCTGCACGTGGCGGATTCTCCCAGCGTCACAGGTGGGTTACCTCTCCCCGTGTCCCCGGCCAAGTACTAGTGGGTGAGGTCTGTGGAGACCTTTCTTAGGAGGTGGCTGCAAGTGTCCTGGGGACACCCCAGGGAGTGCAGTGTGATGGCAGCAGCACCTCCCCCAGATGGGGGAGCGACAGACATAACTCACACCCTGCAATCACGCCAGCTGCTCCCCTGTGACATGCAGAGAAGAGGACGGAGCTGCAGTGCCGAAGGGTGGGTGGACGGTCGTTCATTCGTTCATTTATTCTTTCATTCACTCATTAAGGAGCACCTCTAACCCCCTTCTGGGAATGTGCCCCCAACCAGCCCCGCTCCCTTCCCCAGCCCAGCCCAGCCCAGCCCAGCCCTGGGTCAGCTACAGGATCTGGAGGATGCAGACGAGACCCCCCCCCCCCCCAGAGCTGAGGGTGGTCCCTTCACACTTCTTTTTTCTTTTTCTTTTTTTTTTTTTTAAAGAAAAGCATGAATATTGGCTTAGCTGCAAACTTTTTTTTTTTTAATATATTTTATTGACTTTTTACAGAGAGGAAGGAAGAGGGATAGAGAGTTAGAAACATCGATGAGAGAGTAACATCGATCAGTTGCCTCCTGCACACCTCCTTCTGGGAATGTGCCCACAACCAAGGTACATGCCCTTGACCGGAGTCGAACCTGGGACCCTTGAGTCCACAGGCCGACGCTCTATCCACTGAGCCACACCGGTTACGGCCCCTCACACTTCTGAGCTTCTGCCCACCTGGCTCCTCCTCCTGGAGTTCCCCTGACTCGTCGTAAGAACCACCATGTCCGCACACCGAGCACTTACACGTAGGACCTAAGTGCTCACTCCGGGGGTTAGAGGTGCTCCTATTTAACAGGTACAAGGTGAGGGTAGACACCCAAGGGCATACAGCCAGCTCTGGGTTCTCCATGCAGAGCTCCTCCTGCTCGCGGCACTGCCTCTCCCACCACAAAGTCAGACCACTGTCCTCATGTCCTTTCTGCCCCCTCCATTCTCCGCTGCCCTTCAGCAGGCAGTGAGCTGTGGCCTCAGCCACACCGTACAGCCCCCTCTGGAGCTGGCAGTGTGAGCCCCAGGTACAAGCAGCTCCCTCTCCTCCTCTGATTCAGCCTGGCTTACCCAGGGCTGCCCAGTGACCCCCGATGCGCAGTGACCCCAGATATGCAGCGGGGGAGGGCCAGGAGGTTGGCAATGGTTCCCAGAGGAGGCCGCATTCCTCTGAGGCTGAAAGGGCAGGGAGAGATCAGCATGGCTGGGAGCCTGGCCCCTGGCCCCACCCTGCTCCCACCTGGGGCTTGAAGCCCCCAGCTCCGCCCCATGCAGCTGCATGACTCCACGGGGGCCCTGCAGTGCCCCTGTCCATGAGTGGGGGCAAAGCCGAACTGCCTTCAGAGGTTCAGACGACTCAGCTGGTTACACGCACAGCCCAGGTGGAGCCCACGGATCCACCTGCGAAGGGGAGCAGGCGTAGCTCTGTGGGCCTTGGCTTTGCGCCAGAGGAGAGGACAGGGACTGGCCTGAGCCACCAGGGACCTGGGGGTTCAGAGACCGCCCTAGCAGTGGGGTACGCTACCGCCTCGGGGCGATAACCCCCAGTGAGTCCTGTCCCTTTGGCCTGGTGGAGCCTGACCCAGAGTAGCTTGGTCACAAGGTAGACAGCCCGACCCCTTGGCCGTAGACCACGGCTGAGGCCTGGAGGAGACCTGTGTGAGGCCTGAGGGCCTGGCCAGGCGAGGTAGGCCCCCACCCACGTGGCTTTTGCCTGGTTCATCTCAGGCATTGTTTCTGCGCCATCCGTTCTCCACCGGCTCTTCCACAAAATGCCGACTTCTGCCCATGGGCCACGAAGTTCCAGTCGCGCTGTACGTGCGCGCCCGCACGTGGTATTTTGTGGAAGAGCCACACCGAAGGGGCCAAAGAGCCGCATGTGGCTCGCGAGCCGCGGTTTGCCGACCACAGAGTCCTGGGCAGCAAGGCTGGGAGCCACAGGAGCCGCAGCAGGGGGTGCCCTTCCTTCCCTCCCTCCCTCCCTCCCTCCCTCCCTCCCTCGGGAGGGCCAGTACTAACACGTCCTGCTGCACCCTCTCAGAGTCCTCACCTCCCCCAGCTGGGTTTCCCACCAACCCCTGAGAAAGCTCCAGCCCACCCTCCCTTGGTGATTTAGGGCGTCTGGCCTGGGCTGGGACAGCCTGGCCACTCAGCAAGAACCACGGGAGTGCGCCGCTGCGGCTCCCGCTCTCCATCAATATGTGGCAGCCATAATTATTATTAATTCATATCTCCCGGGGGGATTGTCATGCTAATAGGAAATTCCCAGGAGATCCAGGGAGGCCCTGCCCTGCCAGGCACCTCTCATATGTCACTTTATTTCATCCTCACCACTGCCTGGGGGGTGGCCTCGCCACCCTCACCTCACAAGGGGGAAACCGAGGCCCCAGGAGGTTAAGGGAAATGGCCACGTTCCCACCGCAGAGGTGGGAGATGCAGGAGCCCCGGGTGTGCCTGGCTCTGAGTTCTAAACTCTCACATCCCCAGTCATCTGTCCGCCAGAGGACCCGAGGGACCCCAAAGCCCGCAGCGACAACGGTGGGATGTCGGACGAGGGGCGGGGGGTGAGAAGGGTTTCAGGTGTGGGCTTTCCCGGGGCCTCTTAAAGCCACAGGCACTGGTCCTAATGGGCATCCGAGGAGCCCACAGAGGCTGGGGAGACATAAATAGTTGGGGTCCCTCCTGACTCCCAGCCCAGCCTGGACTACCACCTCTCTCTCCCTGAGCCCCCTCTCCCCAGGCCTCAAGACAGGACTGTGATTAATCAGCGACAAAAGCAGAAACAGACAGAAAAATGCAATCAGCTTGGGAAGGGCAGGGTCAGGCAGGGCTGTGACAATCTGCTTTCCCGCTGGGGCCATTGGCCGACTGGACCAAAGGGGGCAGGGAGAGGGTTTCCAGGAGGCCTCCAGGGGCAGGAACCACAGCTGGGGCCACAGCAAGGCCAGAGGGTCATCTGCTCCCCCATACACATATACTCACCTCTGTGCACACAGGCCCATGCCACGCCCAGCCCCAGGTCTGGCCCCTGCCCCCTCCCTCACTTAGACTTCTGCCAACCAGTTCCTGCCCTCCCTTCCCCTGCCAGCTCACAACCCGAGCGCACACAGGTGTCCAAACACTCCTGACCCACGCCCATGGGACTTGCAAACACTTGTACGCACCCTCGTGGATAACAGACAGAGGCACGTACGTGCTATGCCCTCGAACATCTACCGCCTCACCCCGGTGTGCACACGTGCTCGGGGGCCTCATAGGCCCTCACACCAGTCCCTGCAGGACACGTGGCCACCCCTCCGCCCCTCAGTGCCCCCTGGGCCATGGACACAGACCCTGGCTCCTCCTCTGAAGGCCCCGGGGTGGGAGCCTGGGAAGGAGCCAGGACTGAGGCTCTATGGGGAGGGGAAGGGGTAGTCAGCCAGGAGGTCTCAGCCGCAGGGCCCGGAGTCTTCCCCGACCCAGACCAGCTCCTGCTGCTGCCCCTGCTTCGTGACCTTGCTCAACGCCCTTGTCCCTCAGCCTCAGTTTCCCTACCTTGGAGCCTGAACTGGCACCCACACTGTGATTCTCCCCGAGGTCCCAGGCGCCTGGGGCCGACCTCAGCTCACGGCCAGGCCAGAGTCTTACCCTAACCCGGGTTCCCTGCTCTCAGTTCGAAGGGCGGGCCAAGGGGCAGGAAGAAAGGGGCCCCACCCCACCTTGATCCCGGTGACTGCGGCGGGGGGCGAGTGATCCTCCGCAGGGAGGGAGGGGAGCCCGGGTGAGGGGGACAGGAAGCCCCCGCGGGCTTGGGGTGGCCCGCCCGGGCCCGCGGAGGGCAGGGGCGGGAGGGGGGGCGGGAAGCGCGGAGGGGGCGGGCGGCGGGCGGCGGGTGGGGGAGGCGGGAGCGCAGCCAGCCCGGCACAGAGCGAGCGAGCGAGCGAGCCGGGAGGCGGTGCGAGCCTGAGCCGCGGGCTGGGGGACCGAGCGCGCCAGCGGGCCAGCGGGAGGCGAGCGGCGCGGAGCGCGCGGGGCCCCGAGGAGCGGGCGCGGCGGGTGCGGCGCACGGCGGCCCGAGCGGGGAGGCCCGAGCGGCGCCGCCCCCGCCACCCTGCGGGGCCCCGGCCGGCAGCCCGACGCGGGAGGGGGCGGCATGCACCGGCGGCCTGGGGCGCGGGGGCTCTAGGCCCCCGGACGGACGGGTGCCACTCGCCGGGTCGCCGTTGCCGCCGCCGGGCCGCCCTCCACGGCTGCGCGTCCCGCCCGCTCCCGCCGCCCCCAGGGCCGCCGCCGGCCCATGAGCCCCGACCTCAAAGTTTGCGGCGGGCGGGCTGGCGCGGAGCCTCCAAGATGCCGTTCCACCCGGTGACGGCGGCGTTGATGTACCGGGGCATCTACACCGTGCCCAACCTGCTGTCGGAGCAGCGCCCCGTGGACATCCCCGAGGACGAGCTGGAGGGTGAGTACGGCCGGGACCCCCGCCCGCGGGCCCTCCTACCTGTGCGCCCAGGTGCAGCGCGAGCCGGGGGCGAGGGGGCGCGGGGGGCGCGGGGGCGCGGGGCCGGCGGCCGGTGCCTGCTGCCCGGGGGGCGCTCCGGCGAGCAGCTGCGCATGGCGGCCGGGCCAGCGCGCACCCCGGGGCGCCGCGGGGAGGGTCGCCGCGGCGGAGGGGCGGCCCGGCCCCTGCCTGCGTGGTCCCCGGCGCTGCGGAAACTTGCCGGGTCCCGCCGCAGGGTCACGGGCCCGCGCAGTCCGCGGCGACAGTGCGGCAACGCGACAGGTTGGGGCCGGGGTCCGAGCTGCGCCCCTGCGCCGGCTCAGCCCGAGCGCCCGCGTCCGGATCCCCTCGGCGGCGCCAGCCCGCGGCTCCGCGCTCGCATTGACATTCCACTCGTGTCGCTTTTACGATCCAATCTGCTCGGGCAGCTGGCGAAGGGGAGAGGGCGACCGCCCTGCGGCGGGGCTGCCCCCAGCCCCCCCTCCCGCCCCACTGCGGCCTGAGCCTCTTCCGCTCGGCCCGGCGGGGACCCTCGCCCCGGGCTCCGGGAAGGCGGCCCGGGAGGTGGTGGCGACAACAAGTGGCCAGATCCAGCGGCTTGGTCTTGGTCGTGATAACCCAGCCTGGAAAGGGAAAGGCAGGGAGGCAGGGACCCAAGCCTGCCCTCCCACCCACCACCCATCTGGGCGTGAATGGGGACACGGATGGGGACCTTAGGCGGGGGTCTAGGTGAGATGGCGGGGTCCCTGGATGGAGAATTCTGGGGAGCAGTGAGACCCCTGGTGCCTGGGAGCTCCTTCCCTACTGGGCTGTGGGCAGGTGCTCAGGCTTCCACTCCCCGCAGACCTGGGGCCCCATGTGGAGTGGAGTGGGGGGGGGGGACTCTGGGCGGAGGGGAGTCTTGACCCCCTGGGATCTTCTTGTCTGTTGTTGGGGGAGGGGCTGAGAGCACCAAGAGGCTGGGAGATTATGGGTCTCTTGAGTCCAGGCGTCTCTGAGATCTGGGGTTCAGCAGGGCCTGGGGGAAGGTTGCAGCCGAGACAGTGCAGTCAGGGATGATGGGGGGAGCACAGGGGAAGGCATGGAGAGAGGTCCCCCTTATCCCCAAGATCTGGAGGGGGCAGGTCTTGGTGGGGGGGGTCAGACTGGCTTAAGGGGAAGATCAAGTGGGAGTAGGCAGCCCCCCTCCCACAACTGCACCACAGGCTCTGAGCCACCTGCTCCTCACCGAGTCCCCCCAAAGCTCCCCGAGGCCAGGAGAGCCTTGGAAAAGGGGTCTGGTGTCTGATGTGGGCAGGACAGATGGATGGATGCTGCTGCTGCGTCTCTGGCCTTGAACCCCAAACCCAAATCCCTGCCCTGTCATCCGGGGCCTGGAACAAGGAGGGGGTGTGATGAGGGGCGAGAGGGCAGGGGATGGGGCATCCGCTGCCTCTTCCCTCATGCCTCCTCCTGCCAGTGCCCCCTTCTATAGGCTCGCACCCCTTCCTTCCTGCTGGCCACCGAGGCAGGGCTTAACCTCGTTCCCCACACCCCAGGCCAGCCAGCTCCCACCTCATTCTCTCCCCTTGCTCCCTCCACCCCACCATGCAGCCCTGCTTTGGGCCTCACGAGGTCCAGCTTCTTGCCACCTCCCAGCCCTGAAGTGAAGACCCCAAGGAAGGGGAGAAGCTGAGAGGAGCCTAGGGTGCAGGGGTGAGCGGGGCGCAGGGCTGGCAGCGTGGGGGGAGCCTCCCTTGGGCTGCCCGGCGGGCACACTGGCAGGAGCCCAGGAGCGTTAGTCACCAGCCACACCAAACACCCTCCCTGCTTCTCTCCTGTCCTCTTCTCCTGGGCCCCGAGGAGCAGAGGGGCCTGGCACAGGGGGCATCTGAAGGGCATGGCCCTCTCTGGTGTGGGCAGGCGGGGGTCTTGGAGCAGGCAGATGCCAGGGTGGCCCCAGCCCATCTCCCGGCCCACAGCAGCGACAGCTGAGGGCAAGGAGTCCTCCATGCCTGACCCCTTTCTTGGCTGCAGGCACCCCGAGAGTCCGCCTTCTAGGAGACCAAGTCTCTGCAGGCCCCAGTGATCCTTGAATGCCAGGGCTGTGTGGCCAGGGCGACCATTCCTCGCACAGATTCCCCCCTCCGCCCCCTCCACCTCCCCAGTGCCCCATCAGTGCGTCTGCTCCCCGGGGCAGTCTGGGTAACACCCCGGCCCTTTCCTGGGAGGATGCCCACAGTGGGGGAGCCACATGTGCCGAGAAGAGGAGGCTGGCAGCTTGGGACGCAGTGCTGCAGACAGTACGTGCCTGGCGCAGAGATCCAGGGGGTGGTTCGTCCGAGGGGGAGGAGGGCCAGGGAAGGAGGGGGAGAGCCGGGGGTTAAGATGAGAGCTTCCAGCCAGGCAGCGCTGGGTTTGAGTCTCTGCACCCCTGTCTCATGGAGTGACCTCGGCAATCACTTGCCACTCTTGCCTCGGTTTCTCCATCTGTAAAAGGGGTTTGGCATTGCCCCTCCCCAGGGCTGCTGGTGACAGAGGAGGTGATGGAAGTGCCCAGTGCGGGCCCTGACGAGCCGTGGGGGCGGGACAGACGCAGCAGTAGGGAAGGCCAAGGAGCGGGCCTGCAGGGGTAAGAGGCTGGAGTGTAGAGGGATCGGTGAAGGCTCAAGAGGCAGGGATGAAGGGTGTGCAGGGTAGGGAGGGCTGGGTGGAAGGGGCCATGCGATGGATGGCAGTTGGCACATAGACATGGCCCGGCAGAGCCAGCCTGGGACCTCCTGCCTCCATCAGCCCCCCTTCCCCCGTGAGAGATTCTCCCAGATTCTCCCTGTACCTCCTCCCCGACAGACACACGCAGCAGAGGCCCCCAGGCCTGCAGGAACCCTGAGCCTGCCCCAGCGGCATCCACAGCCTTGAGCACCTGAGGGGGGGAATGGGGCCGCTCAAGCTGCAGTCCTGTCCTCTGGCTGGTGGAGGAGGAAGGAGACAGACAGGCAGCCGCCAGGGCAGGGCTCTGAGCCGCGTCCTTGGCCTGCTCAGCGGGACCGTGGAGCCTTCATTGAGAGTGGCCACATGGGGACATGGGGAGAACGGGGGTAGGGCAGTGCCATCCTGCTCCTTTCCTGCAAGCCCAGTGGCTGCCTCTGCGCAGGCCAGAAGCTCATGGAGGCCAAAGTGATGGGGCACAGGGCCAATGTCTCGGAGAGCCGCCGAGGACGACACTGCCCCGCCCCCGCAGCGGCCTCCAGCACCCCCCCTTGCTGGACCCCAACTCCCTGACGGAGTGCTGGCATCCCCTGGAGCCTGTGAGGGACCCGGGCCCTGACAGCTGCACGGGCCATGGGAGGGGATTGGGGCTGTCAGGCTGGAGGCATTAGGGGGGGACAGTGTGGGCCTGGAAACGCGGAGGCCCTGCCAGCCCTTTCCGGGGCCAGGCGTCCTCATGCCAAGATGGAGCACAGCGGCCTCGTGGGCAGGAACAGAGCGCAGGGTCAGAGCGAGGCTTTCGGGGAATCACCCGCTGGGCTGTGCCGATGGCGGCAGCAGCGACGGGGACGTGATGACACCCACCCCATTCAGAGAGCCCCCAGCAGGCCCAGGCCCCAGCGATGGGGCAGGAGCCACGTTCCCATTGCACAGGTGCAGCACTGGAGGCTCAGAGAGGGAGCTGCCTTGCATTCCAGCTGGTTGTTCAGCTGCTGAGCGGCAGAGCCGGACTTCAAGGCCGGGGCCCCAGGGCCCGGCACCAGCCAACAGGAAGCCCATGTTGGTGTCCAGAGCTCACCCAGTCCTCCCTCTCCTCCCAGCTCTGCTGTCTGTGACGTTCTCGTTTGCAGTGCCCTGTGCTGAGCCAAGCCCGGCCGGCCCTGTCAAGCACTTACACCCTCCATTTTCCTATGTAGTCACCCCCGCCGCCCCGCTGGACAGGTGAGCAAACACCGGCCCAGGTCACCCAGCCAGGAGGCAGGAGAGCTGGGATTTGAACCTGTGTCTGCATGACTTAGAGCTGACTCTCTGGCTGAGAAGGTGGTCCCTGAACTTGGCCTCAGGAGTCAACTGGGGCTGGGGCAGGGCTCTGGGCATGGACAAAGGTACAGAGGCAACCCTCAGGTGTGAGCTGGGGGTGCCAGGGAGGGATGGTGGAAGGGACACATGGGCATGGAAGTGGCGGTCTTTGGATGTATCTGGTGATCTTAGGAGGCCAGTCCTGCCTGAGAAATGGCTGTGGGGCCCCTTTGGCTACGGCCAGGTCTGTTGCCTGCCCCATATCCCATGATTCCCCTGACCTCCCCTGTCTCCCATCCAGCCTGGGGACTTCCATAAAGGGTTCAGGGCCTCCAGTAGAAGCAGCCCTGGGGAGCCTGGTTACATGGCCAGTACCCTCATCTTCCAGCAGAGACTTCCAGGCGACTGAAGTCCCTCCGCAGTCTCCGTACCGCCAGGCCTCTGCTCACATACCCCTGGGGATGGGGAGCTCACCACCCCTCAGTGGCTCAGGAAACCTCCAGGTGGGAGTTGGCTGCAGTTCCCAGAGTCCAGGGATCTCCCATCCCGGCTGCTCTCCTGCAGACAGTCTGGCCCTGCTGGGCTGGGAAGGGGAAGGTTGAGTCAGGGCACCTGGGGGCAGTGCAGGTGCAGCTCACGGCTTCTGTCTTGGCCTGCAGGTCAGCCAGTCGCACCTCCAGGCCTTGGGTGCAGACACCAGGTGGGAAGAACCTGATGAAGTTTGGGGCCTCGGTCCAAGCCGCCTAGCTGTGTAGCCTGGGACACACGGCTACCCTCTCTGGGCTATCGTGGGATCAGCAGGATCAGGAAGGACCCCCAGGTGTAGGATCCCACAGTCAAGTTTTTAGGGTTCACAGACCCCTCAGGCCAGGCCCAGGCCAGCTAACTCTGCCCTCACCAGAAATAGCCCCGAGGACCTCACGCCGGCCCTAGACTGTCCACCTCGTCTCTCTGGGCCTCGTTTTCCAGGACTGCAGCATAAAGACATCAGTCTGCACTCCACATATGTATGTATGGACACACCACACACAGGTGCACACCTGAGCGCGCTCTCTGCTGACGTCCCGCCCAGGAAAACAGCTTGAGCAAAGGCCAGGAGGCTGGCGGGTGGACTGAGTAGGGCGACCGGGGGGTTGGAGCAGAGGCTGTGAGTGAATGGCGATCCGCTCTCTCCCAGAGCAAAACGCTTCTTACGGCCCTTCCTGGGCTGAGGACCAGGGAAGGGACACAGGGAAACAGGTGGCGTTGGGAAAGGTTAGGACCCTCCACAGTTCCTGGAGGCCCTCGGGAAAAGCCTTGTCCCGACATCCTTTGCGTCCATTTCACTGTGGGTAAGCCTGAGGCCCACCCAAGGTCACTCATTGGGGTGCGCATTCCCAGGCTCCCAGCCCTCTGCATTGCCCCCCACCCTGAGTCACCCAGGCCCTCAGGCTGGTCTCCCTCTCTGTATAATGGAGTGAGGGGAGCGACCCCCACATCTGAGCTGGCCTGCGCCTGCTGGGGCCCTTCCATCTGGCCTCCCTTTCCCCCAAACCTTGGGCTCCCCAGGCAGGCTGTGCCGAGCTGTTCGCCCCGCAAGGCTGCCTCACGTGGCTGCCATTAGCGTGTTAACTAACAGGCTGAGCTGAATGGAGCCGCTGAGCTAGGGGAGGACGTGCGGAATGGGGACAGGGAGCGTGGGGATGGGGAGTGTGGGGTGCTGGCTTCCTCCTCGCACAGTGGGACCCATGGTTCCTGCCACAGGGGGTCGCTGTGAGGACGCCTGGAGGGGCTGTGGGGACACTGAGACCCTGGGGGCGGCCTCACGGCCGCCGGGGCCTGGGCACACCTCCGCTGCTCCTCTGCCCTGAGCTCCAGCAGCAGCGCTATGCGGACGCCTGGGCCACCTGCCAGTCTCTGCCAGGCCTGCAGGCTCGGTGGACGCACTGCTGGGCTCAGGCTGCGGGCGTGGGGGTCCTCGCGGCCTGGGAAGCAGGGTGTGGGGAACAGGAGTGAAGTCCCCACCTGCTCTGCTCCCCCCACAGAGATCCGAGAGGCCTTCAAAGTCTTTGACCGCGACGGCAATGGCTTCATCTCCAAGCAGGAGCTGGGCACGGCCATGCGCTCGCTGGGCTACATGCCCAATGAGGTCGAGCTGGAAGTCATCATCCAGCGGCTGGACATGGACGGTGAGCGCTGCCCCCCCCCCCCCCCGCTGTTTCCTCACCCTTCCCCGGGGGCTGGGGCCGGGGTGCGAACCTCGGGGGACTCGCTCCCCCCACTAGCAGCCACCCCCAAGCCCCTGGCCGCTTACAGCCAGAGTGTGAGCGCCGCAGCCACACCTAGGGGTCAGAGACTCCACCCGTCTTGGTCTGTATCCTGAAAAACAATTTAAGTACAAAAAAGTTGAAAGAAGTCTATTCTAAACAGCCCAGGTCTCGCCATTCAAAGTAAGAAATAATTTAGTTGTGTTTGCCACCTGGCATTTTATTATGGAAAAACTCCTAAGGAGCAGTAATGCCCAGGCCCCCCTTGGTCCCCCTGAGCCCCCACTTCGCTCCACCCAGAGAGCAGGTGGTGGCCTGGGCAGGTTGTCCCCGTCCTGAGCTCCGTTTCCTGTCTGTGGTGGGGAACGTCAGGCCCGCACCCGCCCGGGACGGCCGCAGGGCCTGGGAAGCCATGAGGGCTCCGAATGGAGAGTCCCCACGTGCTCGGGGCCCGCCCGCCGCCCTCCACCTCCACCTCCACCTCCACCTCCACCTCCACGGAGCCTCATCACGCTTGGCCTCACCTTCAGCCCAGAGCCTGGCACGTCAGGTGCCCCTGAAACGGGCAAGGCTTGGAGGAGGGACCTGCCTGAGGCTGGACAGGTGCAGGCTGACCCCGCTCATTAGGCCTGTGTCCACTCCAGGTGACGGCCAAGTGGACTTTGAGGAGTTTGTGACCCTCCTGGGACCCAAGCTCTCCACCATGGGGATCCCGGAGAGGTTCCATGGCACTGACTTCGACACCGTCTTCTGGAAGGTATGCTGTGACTGGGGGGACCCGGGGCTGCGCACACTGTGAGGAGCCAGTGAATGGTGGGGCCGCTTGGTAAAGGGGGTGTCCTGTCTCCCAGAGGGTCCTGGGCTCCCTGGGGGAGGCTGGTAGAATGGAGCGAGTGGCCCCCAGCCTTCTGGAATCGGGAGGCCCCTGCTGGCTGTGTGGCTGCAGGCGCTGGGTGGGGGCTGGTGGCCGCGGTGGCCTGAGCGCTGCGTCTCCTCCCCCAAGTGCGACATGCAGAAGCTGACTGTGGACGAGCTGAAGCGGCTGCTCTACGACACCTTCTGTGAGCACCTGTCCATGAAGGACATCGAGAACATCATCATGACGGAGGAGGAGAGCCACCTGGGCACGGCCGAGTGCCCCGTGGACGTGGAGAGTGAGTGACTGACACCTGGGACCACCCCCCCACCCCTGGCGGGGGCCAACTGCGAGAGCAGGGGAGGAACCGGGGTTTGCAGGGGGGCTGGGGCTCCTGGCCTGCCCCAGCCTCGTGCCCCTGTGCACAGGGGACCAGCCCATGTGGAGCAATGCCGGCGGCTCCTGATGGCATCGCTCCGCTGTCCCCTTTTGTCTCTCTCCGGTGCTCCTGGCGGGTGGCCACAGCCTGCTCCAACCAGCAGATCCGTCAGACGTGCGTGCGCAAGAGTCTGATCTGCGCCTTCGCCATCGCCTTCATCATCAGCGTCATGCTCATCGCGGCCAACCAGGTGCTGCGCAGCGGCATGAAGTAGGCGCCGCCTGGATGCCTCCGCTGGCCCCTCCACACCCACCGCCGCCTGCAGTCCTTTCCCGCAGCCGCTGCCCGGCCTCCACCGCCTCCTGTACTTCAGGGCCTGGATGTCCGGCAACCCCGCCGGCCCTTGCATGGGGCTGTGGCCCAGCTGTGGAGGGCCTGGGGGCGGCTCTGAGGACGGCCTCCGGCCCCGCCAGCACCCTGCCCCTGCCTCGCCCACCCTGGCCTGTATGTAGCACTAACGCCTCCCCTGTCCAGGGGCTCCTGGGAAGTGAAGGAGGAACTGGTACAGGGCCCAGGAGCTGCTGCGGCCCTCAGGCAGGAAGAGGCCCCTGTACTCAGGGCCAACAGCTAGCCTGACCCCGGTCCCTGAGGTTTGGGTCAGGCAGCAGGTGGACAGCCTCTTCCTGGGCAGGGGGCATTGGCTAAGGGCCCTGGCCTTCTGCTGGGCCCCATTCTCTGACCCTCCTTATACTCAAACCCAGTCTGTCACACACCCACGGGGCCAGAGAACCAGCTCGTTTCACAGGTGAGAGCTCAGAGGGTCCCCAGATTTGGCCTCAGTTCCCACATCAACAGGGTTTCCAGGGAGGGCAGAAGCTCCTGGAGGAGCGGGCAACTGAGGTGGCCCTGCAGCCCCCCACTCTGGGTTCCCGACGAGAGGCCCCGTGCCTGCGGCCGCATGGCCCTCCCGCCCCACAGAACGCAGAGCTGGAGTCCAGTGAGGAGGAAGCAGAGGGCCTAGAGCTCCCACTGGCCCGAGCAGCCGCGTTTCCCACCGGCCGGCCTCCTCCAGGCAGCCGCCTTGCGGGGCTCAGGCCTGTGCCGGGAAGCTCACCCAGGCCGCTCTTTCAAGCCCAGGGCCTGTGTTCCTGGGCCCCCCATCCTCTACACTGACCAGGCTGGAGACGCAGCTCGTCCCTGCCCCAGCTGAGCCATGTCACGCTCAGGCACCAGCCCAGCACGGACAGATGTGGGGGCCGGGAATGGCAGACTGAGCCCTTGAGCTCTCTCCCCAGATCTGGAGCTGCTTCTCAAACGGGTGATGGGCACAGCCACACTGGCCACCCTCTCCCGGCCCCCCAGGGAGCAGGGCGGCCAGCGCGGTCGCCCTGGAGAAGGCCTCCTGTCACTCCAATCTGACCAGAGGCCAGAGCACGGAGCCGAGGGCACCGGGCAAGGGGGAAGCGTAGCCATATCGCCGTAGTGACACTTTCTTTATAAACATCCAGCAGGAAGTTTCCTCACCCGTCTTGGTGAGACGTCCCGTGAGGGAGGGAGGGTGGCGCTGACTGGCCAGGGCCAGGGCTGCACCTGGTGGGGGCGCTCCTGCGCCTCAGCCGGGCCAGGCCAGGCCAAGCTAAGGGCTTCAGAGGCTCCGAGGGGCACAGCAGGAGGGAACCCCAGCGTCCCCAGCAGGAGCCCTTATTTTTACTGTGACTGCAGTGGGAGCGGACCCGGAGGGGGCCAGGGTGGGTGAGGGACTAGCCCCACTGGACGCGGGGCTGCAGGGGCCACCCCCCCGGTGGGGGTGCCCGCAGAGATGGCGGCAGCTCCTGGACTGGTGGCCAGCCGACTGGGTACTGGAAGACGATGGCTCTGATGGGCTCAGCCCTAGAGAGGAGGAGAAGGCAGAGGATTAGAGTGGGGCACAGCCAGGCAGGCCCAGGCTGGGGCATTGCCCTGCTCACCCTCCTGCCGCCTGGCTGTGCGGGAGGGTAGACCTTTCTGGAAAGCGGAGCCTCAGAAACATGCAGGCCCCTTGAGCCAGGAACCTCACCTCCAGGAATGAGCCCAGCGCAGAGCGGGGTATGGGCAGGGACTGAGGGGCTGGAAAGAACCTGTGTCCACCTGCGGGGACTGGTGGTCTATATATGCACGTCCACGGCAGCAAAGCCGCGCAGCCTGTGTAATGAAGGCGGACCTCTATGCACTGATGAGGCAGGGATCCTGACGTAGGTGTGAGTAATAGACAAAGCAGCTTATAAAATAATGTATATAGCATGATACTATTTTTGTTTAAAGATATACAACCTATATAAATGCATAAGAAACCCGGAAAACAACCAAATGGTGGCAGTGGTTCTATCGGAGTGGTGCGATTACGGGTGTTTTGTGTTTTCTGACTTTTTCATACTTTTTAAGAAAAGTTTTACAGGCACGCAAGCCTTTGAAACCCCCCCACCCCCCCCAAATTGTATAACTTAAAAAAAAAAGTCATTTCTCAAGCTATTCCCTCTCCTACCCCTGGAGCCATGTCTGGGGAACCTGGGGCCTGTGTGAACGGCCGCCGTGGTGCCCAGTTGGGGCCCCCTATCCTGAGGACGGAGGTGCAGAGGCAGCTCCCCCACCAACTGTCCCACGTTCCAGTCCCTCTGGGCATGACCCCCACTCAGGCTGCCGCTCCAGGGAGCACTGAGGCTCCAGGGAGCACTGAGGCTCCAGGGAGCACTGAGGCCGGCCGCCTGTGAGCACTGTGGCTCCAGGGAGCACTGAGGCCGGCCGCCTGGAGCGGTCTGGAGAGGACTCGGGCCTCGGGTGGAGCTGGGGGACTTGGGGCAGGAGGCCCAGCAGTTTGCCTCGCGTACCCACCCCCAGCCCCTCTGGGTGCCTGACCAGCTGAACAGAGCCCATCTGAGGACTGTGGGCGGCCCAGGCGCGGCTCTGGGGCCTCTGGCTGCGAGAGGGCGAGAGTACGGGAATCCCTGCTCGGCGGCTTGCTGCTTGTGGGGAAGCGCAGAAAGCAGCTCCCAGCATGACTTAGGGCTCTGGGGAGATTCATAAACTCCCCAGCGGCAGAGAAGGGTGGGGTTGGGGAGGCTCCACGGTTGCTGGCAGGGACAGCCCCAGCTGCCAGCCAAGCCAGGGCTCCCGGCAGGGTTGGGGTGACCCCCATTCTCCGCAGAGAGGGTGTGATCCCGGGAACCCCTCCCCATGAGCCTCAGCCCCTTTTTCTAGGAGGGACGGGTAACTGGGCAGCTGGGACTCAGCCCCTGCACGTCCTGAGGTCTCCACCAGGAGCCCCTGGAGTGGGCCCCCGGCCCCGCCAGGGCAGACGGGGACCCTGAGCTGCACAGCGGCCTGTCTGTCCCGTGCACAAGGACAGGAGCAGCCCTCATGTCGCTCAGCCCTGGTCTCCGTCAGAAGGAGAGTTCAGGAGGTACGTGGGCTGCAGCTGCAGCGCCAGCCGGGAGCGGGGTGCAAAGGGGGGATTAGAAGGGATAAAGGCACAATCTGAAGAGCCAACACCAGAGGGCAGGGACCAGCACTGGCCTCGCTGGGGGATTAGTCCGCTTGGCTGAGGCCAGCCCCCCCCCCCACCGCTGCTCTGGGCGGGTCCCTCAGGGTCAGGAACCTGGCACAACGCCCCAGCTGCGCCCCCCTCCCCCCGCCCCCAGCCTCCATCCCCCCTTTACAGGACAGGCTCCCCTGGAGGCTCTGCTCAGCAGGGAAAGGGCCCCTGAGTCTGGGTGGCCCCAGGGGAGGAAACAGACACCCAGGGAGGCAGGGGGGTCACCAGACCAGTGCCCACAGTGGCCTGCAGCACTAACACAGGAACCAGTCCTCCAGGCCGGGGACCCTGCTCCCCAAATGCTCTCATTTGTCCACATGTCATCCAGTGCCAGGCCCACATGACAACACTGCAAGCTCAGGGCCGTGAGGGGAGGCCTGGGGCTGGAAGAGGGGAGGTCTTAGCTGAGCCCGAGGATGCGTCCGACTCTGCAGGCGTGGCGGGGTGGGAGCAGCTACAGGCCGAGGAAAACAGCGGGCGCAGGTGCCCCTCAGTCAGAAACACCCACCACAGCGAAGGCGCTGCCAAGCGTCCAGTGGTACTGACATGGAGGCCAGATGGCAGAGGTGAGAAGGTGGCCCCAGGGGCCGGGGAGGGGGCAGGGAAGTTCCACCTGAGGTGGAGGGAGCCCAGGAGGGTTTAAGCAAGGCCAGGCCAGTGTGTGGTTTAGAAGCTTCTGGGCTGTTGTGTGGACAAGCTGGAGGAGCAGAGGGGAGGCAGGAGGCCAGGAGGGGCCGGAGACAGGAGCGACTGGTGTTTGAAGGTCACAGAGAGCCTGCTTCCAGGGCTGCCTCGAGGGGAGGAGAGTGGGGAACAGAGCAAGGCCGCTGACAAGGGAGGGGGCCGGCTCCAGTCCACCTCCCGCCTCCCTGGGGGGCAGAGCCCAACGCTCTGGGCCCAGGATTCAGGTGTCATTTTTCACAAGAGCAGCCTGCAGGCGAGGGCAGCAAGGGCACAGACAAGAACAAATGTTCCTCTCCCTCCTAACGGCCCTTGTTTCCCAAGGCTGGACAGGCCTGTGCTGCCCGGAGAGTAATCCATTCTGGCTCCGAGCCCGCAGGAGGCAGGTGGACGGCAGGTGGACACAGAGAAAAAGTGGTTGCCGGGAAAGCAGGTCCCCAGGGAGGGGCTGGGGGAGAGAGGTTCACGTCCTCTAGTGTCTAGGGGTCCCCAGTTGTAGGTTCTATTCCAGAAACAGCAGGGAGGTGAGCAGCAGGGGAGGGAATGTGACTTAGGGAGCACCGCGCTGGGCGCCCAGGCAGCTGGCTAGCCCCCAAGGAGAAGTGTGGGCGGAGCGGGAGAGCAGAGCTCTCTGGGGGGCCCCCAACCGGCTGAAGAAGCCTGAGGTGCAGAACATAAATCCCTGGACCAGGAGGAAGGGATGGCCCCAACATCTGCGTCATTTCTGTGCTGTATCTTTTCAAGGTGGGAGGGACAAAAACTTGGCGCAGATGTAAAACAAAGGTGAAAAGCAATGGAAGTCAGTTGTAAAATAGCCTAACGAACTCTCTAGATGGGAACACTGAGAAGGCAAGAAGCCTGACCTACCCCCTCTGGCGGTGCCGGGGGGAAGGCCTCGTCCCCTAGACTGCCCAGCCAGGCGTCCTAGGCCCAGGCCAGGCCGCTGTCCCATGAAGCCACTCCACAGAGATAACTGGGTCTGAGGCATGGAGGTCCAGGGCGGGGAGCCCTCGGGGAGCTCTGCCGGGGGAGCAGGAGTCCCTGTCCGGTGCCGAGGCCTGGGCACTTCATGGAGATGGCCCAGCTTCAGGCCAGGGCGGGCTGGCCGGGGTCTTGCCCCCGGAGGGGAGGGCACGGGAAGAGGGCACGCAGGGGGCCTGTACCTGCTGCTTGGGGCCGAGCTCAGCCGCTTGGCTCTCTTCTCCAGCCAGTCCTCCAGATGGCCCTCGGGGAGGTCAGTGATGTCCAGAGGCCACTCCCTGGCCCGCCGCTCCTCTGTGGGAATGGGGAGACAGAGGTGAGGGAGGGCAGGTTCACCCCCACCTGAATCCCAGCCTCCCACAACAGCCGGAGCCTTCCTGGGAGAGCGCGAGCAGGGAGCCAGGAGCAGCCGTGGGCCTGTCCCCACCGCACCGCCCCCTCCCAGGCCCGCCCCGCTGGGCCTCACTCTGCTTCCCCATCGAATGGAGACAGAGCACTGCCTGCCCCCCAAGCCTTGTGGAGCTGGACAAGGGACAACGCCTGCAGGGAGCCTGGGCCTCAGGAGGAGCCCACCCCTGGGGGCAGGTGCTGTGGGACGCAGCGCAGGGCAGAGCGGGTGGGTCTCGGCTCTGTCAGTGCCCGGTCTCTGACCCTGGGCAGGAGAAGCCTCAGCTTCCCCGACTGCTCTTCTCATAAAATGTCCTCTAAACACCTTTGCTCACTGAGTGAAGACCGAGCAATGGGTGGAGTTCAAACAGGCTGGGTGTGAGATGGGTCAGAGTCATGGGCGGTTTGGGATGAGCCGGGGGCGGAGGAAAATAGCCACCCTGTGGACCAGCGCTTCCTCTGGGCCAGGCCTGGCCAGCACTGCGCGTGTGTCGGCTCCCTCCATCTCGAAAGCGGCCACGTTCGACAGGCCAAGACACTGCCTCTGAGATTAAGCCGTGCGCCAAGGGCACCAGGGGTGTAGCAGAGCCAGAGGGGGTGCGCCTCTGCTCCCGGCCCCCTCCCCTCTCCCATCGCTGTCTCCACTAGGTGTCTTCAGGTTTGGAGACAGTTTGACACCCACCCCATCGCCCAGCAGCCCTCAGCCAACACCACATGGTGACCGTAAGAGGCGGGGAGGTGAGGAGGGACAGGCAGCTCCCCCAGCCCCAGCTCTTGCACTCTCCCTGCAGCAGCCCTCCCCGTCCCTGGTCCCGACCAAAACGCACCCTCCACCTGGATACTCAGCTCCTGCAGGTCTCGCTCAGACATGTGGGAAAATCTGCAGTTGGGGCCGAAGTCACACTGGCCTGCAAGGGGGAGACAGTTACTCGCTGCTCCGGCAGGGAGGGCTCCGCTGGGGGCTGAGGGTCACTGGAGGTTTAGGGGCAAGACTTTAGGGCCTCAAGAGCAGCAACCCCACCCCTGAAGAAAAACTTAACTCTCTGGCCCCGCCCTCACAGCAGCCAGAGCAACCTGTCTGCTCCATCTTCCTGCTCATGACCCTGCCCGGCTGGGGGTCAAACCCACTGACAACGCCCACATTTAGGATGCGCAGCCTCTGCAGGCGTGGCTCTTGTCACCACTCGGAACTTGTGACCCCGCCTCAGGAACTACACGTGGGTCCCCGAAAAGGTCATGCTTCCTCTGCACTCTTGGCCGTGCCCCCCCACCCCCCGGGGGCCGGTCCGCTCACTGGGCTTGGTGAGCAGCTCCCAGAAAGGCCTGAATGGCTGTAATTTGCACCATGAAAGGAGGTACACCGTCCAGGGTGGCTTTCTGAACCTCAACCGAGAAGACCAAAATGTGTCTCAAAATAACAGAAGATTGGAGGTGTCCTAAGCCAGCGCCACCTCCCAGTGAATAGGCCCTCCACGGGGAGTCCTGGGGGAGCCCCCTGACCTGCAGGCCTGGGGCCCGTGCTGGGGACAGCGCCATCTCCTGACCTCGCTTCCCTGGGTCAACAGCAGCTCCTCTCCCAGGGCTGCGCCTTTACACCATGTCAGTCATCTGTCAATCATCGTGGCTTTCATCTCTGCCTCGGCCGCTAGGAAGCTCAGGGCCAAGCCCTTAGAGTGCAGGCCCTCATGGCCGGCGTGGAGGAGACGAATGCTCCCGGCTTTGGCCTCTTTTTCTTCCCTTATTTCCATCTGCCTTGGCTCCTCACTGACTGAGGTCTTTATCTCTAAACCACATGCCTCCTTCCTGGCTGGATACTGAGCAGTCACATCAACACCTAGCGCCCTCCGCTCTACTTCCGCACCTTCTGGGCACTGCCAGACCTGCTGCCCCTCCAGCCTGCCTGCCGGGAGTGGGCTGGGCTCCCAGGCTAACTTCATCCGCCAGGCTAGCACCCCCATCGGCGTCTCCAGGGTTCCTTGCCATCTCGCAGCGGTTGCTGGTTCCAGCCGAGCTGATAAAATCACATTCTAGGTCTGAAGAACTGAGGACAAGCCCCTGGAAGTCCTAAGGCACGACCCCGGGGAGGACCCCAACGGATGAGTCAGCTGAGGCTCCAAGGCCACCAAGGGGGTTCAGGATGGTGGCCAGGGTGGGGCAGAGGCTCTGCAGGGGTCTGAGCAGGCCAGGCTGGCAGGCTGGTCCCTGGGGAGGGACAAGGGCAGGGAGGGGCGGGCAGAAGCGGAGCTGAGTGGGACACCTCACCTGTCAGCAGAAACTTCCTGCAGGGCCGCTTGTTCTGTTCATCCAGCAAGATGGCAGCTGCATCTGTGAGGAGAGAGGGGCTGGGCTCCGACCTGCGCTGCACGCAGGTTCTCCCTGAGGTCCGGAAGGGAAGTGCTCCCCATCCATAAAGGGGCAGCCACAGACGGGGATGCTGGGCAGAGGGGTCTGAGCTTCGGGCGACCTCAACCCCTCCCACCCCGCCCAGACCCCGCCAAAGGCAAGCTTTGAGGCCAGAGGCTCTGAGCTCTGCACAGAATCACCCAGGGAGTGGTGGGTGGTTGTGTTCTTGTTTGTTTTTTAAAAGCTGGTACCACAAGGTCTTTCTGCCCTGTCTCTGCAACCTCTTAGAAATCTATAATTATTTCAAAATAGAAAGCTAAAAACAATTCCCAGTGCCCAGGAAGCTCACCAGGAAACAGGACCCAGGCACCACTCCACGGGCAACACGGCAGAACACTCTCCCCGTGCCCTCCGCACGCCAGCTTCGGGCTCTCAGCGCCAGACCGTCCCCAGCCTTGACAGGGCTTGGCAACAATCTTTCTGGATACAAACCTCAACCCTGGTTTCTGCCGATTTTTCCACCTTTACTTTCATCGTATATTTAGGGGGTAAATGTTGTGTGCTTTTTGGTCGTCAATGAATCAGTCAAAATCCATGAGTAAGACACGTGAGCAAGGTGCCCTGACTCAGAGGCCCTGGTGTCACCCTGGAGGAGGGAGGGGCCAGGCCTGGGCTGGGCACCTTCCCATTCATTCACTGCCTTTTCTAAAGGCCACTGAGGTACTGGCACACCAGCGGCTTCGGAGTCCAGATGTACATGACCACAGGCCAGGTGTTTAACCTCTCCGGGCCTCCGTTTCCCCATCTATAAGGGGTGTGTGTGTGGGGGGGGGGGGGGGTTCTCACCGGGTCAGGCTGCTGTGGAAGCAGATAATGGATGGACAGCACCTGGCAGAGGAGGCAGGTGGCCCCTCTACTTGATGGCACATGGAACTGCTGGGAAAGTGGGGTAGGGAGTGGCCTCAGCATCATGTTCCCCAGGTGACGCCGGCGTGCAGCCAAGTCTGAGACCCTCTGTACTGGATGCGCAAGAAATGGGAGCAGTTCTGATTTCGTTTCCTCCTCACAAACCCACTGCATAGTACTAACACCCCCATTTTGCAGAAGGGAAAGCTGAGGTTCAGACAGGAGAAAGGTTAACATGGTCAGGAAGTGGCAGTGCAGGTTTGAACCCTGGCGTGTGGGTCTAAAGTCCCCACCTTTTCCCTTGTGGTGCTGGGTGAGTACCTGGCTCTGATGGGGGCTCCTCCCTTCCCCGGGGCAATGAGGAGCTGGGGGAAGGGTGGGCCGCAGGGGCCAGGAGATGGTTATGGGAGGACCCACTCCAGGGTGCCCTGGGGGAGTGTGGGTTGGATCAGCAGGGTGGGGAGGGGTCCATCTTTCAGGACTGGGCTTGTCAGATCAGTCCAGCCAGCTGATGCCACATACCCTCCCAGGGGGGTGGGCTGGTGGAGGGCAGAGGACATTGCCCAGGCCCCGCCAGCAGAGGGGGGTGGGTAGGACAGCTGAGGGTGGCAGGATGACGAGCCTACACAAGGGACTCTGCCCAGCACCTGACTGGTGGTTCTCAACCCCAGCCACACGACAGACTCATCGGGCAGCTATTCAAGTGCACGGATGCCCAAGCCCGTCGTCAAGCTGTGCTTCCCTTCTGGATGGGGAGAGCGTGAGAACTGTTCAAAGCTCCCTTACGACGCTGACTGCACCCAGCGCTGAGAACGCCGGACCGGGCCCTGCACACGGAGGCCCACGCTCCTCCGCCTGGCGTTCAAGGCTCCTCGTGACCTGACCCCGTTGGTCCTTCTCGCTTCATCTCCCAACATTAACACCTGCCCCGACGCCCCGTGTCTGTTTGCTCGTTCATTTAGACATTCATCCGACAAACATTGACTGAGCACGCCCTGTGTGCCAGGCTCCGTGCCAGGATGGGGATTTAGTGGAGAACAAGGCAGACCTGGTCCTTCCTTCCAGTCCAGCAGCCACACTAATCCACGCGGATATAAACAGGGTAAACAGCATGAGGCCAAAGGACCTGCCCTGGAGGGGTGTTGTGGAGGGAGGACACCCTGGAGGACTCTGCCTGTGCTGAGATGGGGACCAGGCCGAGGGAGGAAGGGCATGTCTGCAGGGGGTACAGTAACTGTAGTGGCCAGTGTGGCTAGAGCTCAGAGGGAGTGCTCAGCTGAGTCTGGGACTAGGAGCAAACATCAGGGTGATCTTGAGGCCCAGTTCCATGCCAGGTCACAGCCCCCAGGATTTGGGAGTGAGGGCGTCTCTGCCTGACACCAGGGTCGAAGGCCTCCCAGGCACCCCCACTCCCAGACCCCGGCCACAGTCATGCCTGGCCTGCTGAGCAGCCTGGCCACGTGCCCTCATCCGAGCCTGTGAGGCTTCTCGTCTGAAATGGGGAGAGTCAGGGAGAGCTTTCAAAATGCCATGCCCAAGCCCCGCCCCAAACCTGCCTCTGGGGGTGGGTCGGTGGGTCAGGGGGCCAGCGTTGTTTAATTTCACGGTCTCTAGGTGATCCTCGCTCCAGGGGCTGAGAGCCCGCTGCTTTAGAGAATGACTAAGTAAAGCAAATGAAGACACCTGGCATGCAGCAGGCACTCAATAAATGCTCACCCCCTTCTTGTGAATTCTGAGTCACAGATCGGGAACTCTGCTTCACCTTCTTCTTCCTTCTCAGCTGCTGGGACCCAGCTCCTTCCTTCCAGGCTCTGGGCCCTGTCCCTGAATCCTGCTCCCCAGGTCCCACTGAGCACCGGATCTGCCTTGGCTCATTTCGGGAGCTCTTGGACCCTTCACCCCACTGCCCAGCTCCCTCTCCACTTGACCAGGCTCCTGCTGAACCCCTCTGGCCCCTCCCTCACTGCTGCTCAGTGTGTATGTCCAACGACACCGAGCAGAGCAGCTCCTGCAGTGAGTGCCTGGGGTGCCAGGCCGGTGCTAGGTGCTGACAGCCTCAGCCCATTCACCCGTCACAGCTGCTCTGAGCAGCCCCTCCCAGAGGAAGCTTGGTTATTCAGCCACCCATCGGCCCGGCATTCAGCGCCGTTCATTGCACTCCGTTGCTTACACAGCAGCCAGTTATCAGTGTCAAATGCAGCTCTGGGCACACCGGCTGCTGCCTAAAGCCCCTCAAAGACCGCTCTCTGCCCTTGGGACAACCCAGCCCCCTGACTGTGGCTTCCAGCCCTGCGTGGTGGTCCTCGCCCTGCCCCCAGCTCTACCCCTACCAGTCTCCTCTCCGGCCGGGTCCCTCTCCTGCTCGGAGAGCGCCCGCTTCTGCACGCCCTCTGCCCGGAGCGGTGTGGCTGGCCTTGCCCTGTCTCTCAGCTACTGGCTCCCACATCACCTCCTGGGAGAGGCCCTCCTCCCGACCGCAGCAGCCCCAGAGCCTGGCCAGGCATCTGAGAACAGCCCCCAGTCAAGCTCGCTGGGGAAAGGCGCTCACGCTGTCTGACCTTCGGAGGCCCCTCTGCGCTGGGGCCACTGGCCCACGGGGCTTCCTTGTCTGATGATACGAAAGAGCGAAGAGCGAAGGGCCCCAGCAGCCTGGCGGCCGAGCCGGCGGCACCCACCTCGGAACATGTCGTACCAGGCCTTCTTGGCCTTGAGGTGCTGCAGCCCGTTCAGGTGCTTCTTGCGGTTGTGGAGGTTGTCCTGGAAGGAGCGGTCGCAGTAGTCACAGAAGTAACGCTTCCCCATGGCCCCGCGCCCGCGGCTGCCCCTGCCTGGGGAGCACAGAGCATGTCAGAGCGGGGAGGGGACGCCACACCCCGAAGCCCACGCACACCACCGGACGGAGCGCTCCCTGCGGGCCGGGCCTGGGCTGTGTAGGGAGCCTTTCCGTGCACCCACCGCCTCATTTAAAACTCACAACAGCCCGTGAGGGGCTGCGCGGGCCTCATCCCAGGGGGTCCTTTAACCATTCTGCTGCCCAGCCTCCACCCGGGGCCAGTTAAAGCAGACCAGCGTGGGTGAGGCCTGGGCATCAGTACTTTTTAAATTTTCTGTATGTCGCCAGGGAACCACCACCTTACACCCCCCACACCTCTGATCTCTCGACTGGTCACTCCACGCCGACCACACAGGCCTCCGCTCTGCTCCTCACGCACGCCAGCCCCATGCCCACCTCCCGGCGTCTGCATGCTGTTCCCTCTGCCTGGATGCCCTCCCCGGGTACCTGCCAAGCTTGCTCACTCGACTCCTTCAATCTTCGCTCGAACACTACCTTCGCAGGAAGCAACCGTAACCACTTTACTTAAAATTGCAGAACCCTCCACCCTCCACTTAGCTTTCCCCATTTCCCGCCTCATTTGTATCCCCTGTGAAGTAACAGTTCCTGGTTCCGTTCACTATCTCTTCTCCCCGTAGGAAGGTAAATCCACGCAGGCAGGGATATTTTTGTTCTGTTTATCGCTGAAGCTCCAGCACCCAAAGTGGTGCGCGGTGCATAGCAGGCAACCAGATAGTTGTTGAATAAACAAATCAATTCCCATTTTCCTTAAGGGATGACCGAGATTCAGTAAGCCCAGGTCCCCTCAGCTCCAGCCACCCCGTGCCCTCTCTTCCGCACCAGCTCGATGCCCAGAGAAGCTAGAGGCCCAGGCAGAGGTGCCAACGGCTTCCCCAGGAGAGTGGCTCAGCTCTCCCGTGGCAGGTCCCCAGGCAGCCGCAGAGGGAAATGAGGACGGTTCAGGGTCTGAAGAGCCTCCAGCCGTGGTGACCACAGCTGCTATTCCTGACCCAGGAGATCTGCAGCCCCAGGCCAGGGGTGACTCTCTGACTCTCAGGGGGAGGGGGGTGACGCCAACCTTGTCTCCCAGTTTGGTGCCACAAGATCAGAGGAGGACCAAGTCCCCTGGGGCCATCAGACGGGACCTGCACAGGCTGAGTCCAGACCAGCCCCTCCCCCTTCAGGTCCTATATTCTGGCCCCTCGTTTCCCAGAGCAGGTTCCCGAGGCCCAGGGGACCAAGACTGGAGGCTTCCCCAAGGTCATGAGGCAACAGCTCAGGCCGGCAGCACAAGCTCGACTCCCAGGATCTGGCAAATAGATACGAAGCTGGGGCCTGACCACAGGGCAGACAGACGGGGAAATGCATCTTGAAAAGAGGAGGCTGGAGAAAGACTCGAAGACAAACAAGCCCCCTGGACAGGCCCGGCAGCCGTGCGGGCTGAGGGAGAAAGCGGGCCTGCGCAGGCGGGGACAGCAGCCATTAAGTCAAGGGCTCTAATGGGATTAGGAACAGACAGTCATTCCAAATGAAAACACATAAAACCTCTTTTCTCCAGTTACTGCTGAGAAACCACATCCCAGACACACGGACTTGATATATTAAATTTGGCAGCTCTAATACACCCGTCTTGCCAATAAACTTATAGGAGCTGGATTGAAATGGTAAGAGATGAACGCTTAACGGCCGGGAGCTAGCCCAAGCCATTCACGAAGCCTGAAGCGCCCAGAAGCTGCGGCTCTGGAGAGTAACCGGGACGAGGGGGACGAGGGGGACGGGGGGGGGGGGCAGGGGCGGGGGGGCGGGGGGGGGTGTCCCTCTGGGAGGCTGAGACGAAACGGTGGCTCTGCTGCGGACTCAGCTGGACAAAACCACACAGGGCACTGAGCCGCCAGCTGTGTGGCCTTGGGCAAGTCACTGCCCCGCTCTGGGCCTCTACTTTCACTGTGGGAATGAGGTGGTGGGTCTGATGGCCTCTTCGGGGAGTGATACACAGAGATTTGCTGCTCCCGATGAATTATTAACCACAAAAGAACGAGCAATACAAATGGCACTGGTAACGCCCAGCACTGAGCCAGTGCTCGGTCCATGTCACCCAGGACTTGGTTTACTGTGCACCTGCTGCACTGGCACCAGGTTAAAAGCTTTCTAAACGCATCACCTCAGGACACCCTGCGTGGTAGGACCTGTGACGCCTTTTCAGAAGAGGGCACAGCGGCTCCAAGAAGTGAATGGCGTAGCCAAGGTGACACCGCCAGCAAGCGCGGAGCTGGGCTCAGAACCCAGGCCCAATGGCCCTAGGGCCGCTCCCAATCACAAGTGTCTCCTCCCGACAAGCCCCACTGATGACAGCTTCCCTTTGTGAGTCACTCACTACACCCCTGCCAGGCCTCTTCTCAAGTCTGAATCTGGGGAAGAGACAGGATGGATAAGGAAGACAGCGAGAAGAGAGACCCTAAGACCCCGAAGGCCGGCCTCTCACTGCCACCACCAGCCTCCCCGAAGGACTGCTGCCTCCGGCAGAGCCCAGCTCTAGACTTAACCCGCTCCTGGCCACCCAGGGCACCTGCCTTCCGTCCTCTGGGCTCAAGGAAAAGATGACCAACTAGTGGGGACACGGGGGTAGAAGAAAGGATAACAGAGAAGGGGTGAGCTGGGGCGAGGGAAGAGCTTCAGACTGGACTCCTGCGTGCGAGGCCCCTGGCTCTCATTACTCATTTAACCCTAACAGAGACCCTCCCCATCAAGGTGGCCCTTCACAGATGATGACCCAGGTTCAGAAACACTCCCCATGTGCTCAAGGCCAAGGCTAGGGGAGACACTGAGAAAGGTCATTCCTCATCCGCCTGAGTACTGCTGGCGGGGAGCAGCGCAGGGAGCCCCATGCCCTGCGAAGCCATGTGACGAGGTCCCGCAGCCACACAGGCCAGAGCCAGCACCCACACGGGGGTCTGCCTGACCCCAGGACTCCTTTCCCTTCCCACTGCTCCGCTGCGAGGCTGTCACGGGGCAGACATTTGTGCTTCATTGATATTCTTGGTCCCTTCCATTGTGCACGCCTTGGGTACAGAGAGCTCTGGCACCAGGCTAAAATAAGCCAGCAGCTCGGCTGCGTCCAGGGGCCGGCACACACACTGTAATTACCCAGGACTTGGGCTCACCACATGCCGCCCTCAAGCTCACCTGTCATCCCTTCTAATTATGGCGCTGCCAGACCCCAGGTAAACAGCCAACCGCAGCCAGCGGACGGCTTCATTGCACACCCGCCAGGAGCATGGCAACGTCCCAGCACCACATATGCCTGCCGTCTGGAGTGGATGGCATCGGAACCGCCCTGTGGGGGTGGCCCACAGACTGCCCACCGAGGACCCAGCTCCAACAGGGATGCCAAGGAGACCCAGATGTCTTCCCTGAGAGGAGCCCCAATAGGTTAGGGGTCGCCCTCAGATGCCCCGGTGTTTTGTAGCAACCACAGGGCTTTCTCATCCTGACCGCATTCCATTCCACCCCTGGGAGTGAGGCGCAACCCTTCCTCCCGGCAGAATAAGGCAGTGGGGACCCCACCCACAGCAATTTCCCACGCAGCAGGTCTAGGGAGAGGGCCAGGATCTAGTGGGGGCTCCGGTGCAGAGTCCACGGACCCCCCTGGGAGAAATGATGGTCCTTTAAGGTAGCAGGTGACAGGCTGAAGAACAGAGGGAGGGACAGCCAGCCCAAAGTCACACTGATCACCCACGTCAACCCTCCTCTAATCATTCAACCCAGATGGGAATTCCACCCCTGCCACTTCCGGGCTGGGAAACTCTCAGCTAACTGCTTACCCGCTGAGCCTCACCTGGAAGAGGAAGGTAATAATACTATTTCATAAGATTACCATGAGGATTAAAGCATGGGCCCTAACCGGTTTGGCTCAGCGGATAGAGCGTCGGCCTGTGGACTCAAGGGTCCCAGGTTCGATTCCGGTCAAGGGCATGTACCTTGGTTGCGGGCACATCCCCAGTAGGGAGTGTGCAGGAGGCAACTGATCGATGTTTCTCTCTCATCGATGTTTCTAACTCTCTATCCCTCTCCCTTCCTCTCTGTAAAAAAATCAATAAAATATATTAAAAAAAAAGAAAAGAATGCGAGCTCAGTGTTAGCGCCACGCCTGACATGCTGATGGTGCTCAACACTCATCTGTGGATGTGGCAGCAGCCGTGGCTGCAGCGACACCACCTCCTCATGTGTGTGCTGTGTGATGTTGTTCGCTTCTAAGCTGTATCACGGTTTTGTGTGATAAGAGAATAGAGCAGAGGTGACAGGACGTCACTCACATGATCAAGTTATCAAAGGGCGCTGTGGCTTCCATCCTGTGTCTCCCCTCTAATCACTCGCTGTGGGGGAAGCTGGCTGCCATATTGTGGGGAGGTCCAAGTGGCAAGGAATCGAAACCTGTTGGCAGTCATGTGAGTAAGCTTGGAAGTGGACCCTCCAGCCCCAGTCAAGCCTTCGAATGAGTGCAGCCCTGGGCTTGATTGCAACCTTCTGGGACAGTCTGAGCCAGACCCACCCAGCTAAGCCACTCCCAAATTCCTGAGAAAATGTTTGTTGATGTTTCTCTCTCTCCCTCTTTCTTCCTCTTCCCCCTCCCTTCCACTCAAAAAAAAAAAAAAAAAAAAAAAACCAACAAAAAACCCAAAAACCACCACCAAAAAACAATGGGAAAAAACTCATTATCACAACAGAATATATAATACCACTATTATAAGGGAAAAAATCCTCCCACACTCATACATAGACTAAAGCAGACACAAAATATTTACTGTGGTAATGCCTGGATAATAGGATTATGCGCAGGATTTTTTTTCCCCCACTTTGTGTTTTTCTATTATTCTACATTTTGACATTTAGCCTGTATTGTTTTTAAATGTCCCCAAAAAATTCCCATAAAAAGTGGGAAATTCGTCAGGCAGGGATAAACCCTATTCCTTCTTCCTTAGGAAACACCACGGATGGTTCCAGTGACCTGGTTCGCCAGGATGAACCTGGAAAGGGATGCAAGGGAGACATTTCCCTCGGCCCCTGGCTGAAGGCTGATAGGTGCGCCCTGATTCTAAGCCGACCTGGCCCAGCGTAGGCGGCTGAACCTGAATCGGGCTACAGGGAGCCGCAGGCTGGAGACACGGTTTCTCATCAGACAGTTACAGGTCCCCGGAGGCCAGAGCTTCCAAATAGAAAAGGTAAAAATAGTCTGAAGGAGGCTCCTGCGCCAGATACCCAGGCTCAGAACGGCGTGTGCCTCCCCCTTCTTCCCCCTCCCCCCCCCCCAGTTTGGGCTTCAAGTCCATCTGACCCTCTGTTACCACCCAGTCGGGTCTCTCCTCCTCACACCTGGACCAGCCTCCCCAGTTTACCTGCCCTGGGCAGCATCAGGCCAGCCCTCTACCCGGCAGATCTGGAGGGGACCAAAAGCCTGCGGTTTAACTCTAGCGAGTCTGCTAGGAGGCATCCGCTAAGGAACAAAAGCCCAGGGGAACAGCTGTGCTCACCGGCCTCCAGTCCCTGCATCCAAAGGCCTCTGCTGGGAACAGCGCCCCTGGGGAGGCAGGGCACCTGATTCGTGTCCCAGTCACCAATCGGTCCGCTTGCTGAAGGGGTAACCCCGACCTGACTGGCATTCACTTCCACGAATAAAACTGTTTCCCCTCCTGGCTAGGTGTCATGTCACACTCCAGGAAAATTTAGAATTGCAAAGAGAGAGAGTAGAATAAATCAAACTGCTTGTACAGGGCAGGGTAAAGCAGATCCACAGTTGTCCGTATGGAAAATAATACAATAATTAATAAAAAACAATACAAGGAAAAACTCTGTGTTTCACATCCTCACAACTGTAAACCGACCTTCACCCCACCCGTACTTATGTTCCTGTCCTGAATTTAGTAATCGTCAGTGGACACTTGGTATTTGAAAGTATCAGGAACATTTGAAAAGAATTTGACATGCTGCGTAGATGACAGATAAGCAATGTGATTCCAATTTAAAATATCAAAGTTAAAGTATATAGCTAGGTAATTAATAAAATATATGTCAGTAATTGGCATTAGACTTGTGACTTTAAGTGGAGAGGTTAGCAATGGTTGGAAAAACTGGCTACATATTAGGATCTCCTGGGGTGCTATAACGATACTAAAGGTGCCCCCCCATATCCTAATTTTATGTCAGAGATGTATTTTACTAACTCCCCAGACTGAGAACCAGTGACAAGAGAATCTGTCTATGAAAAGCACTGAACTGTTTACAAGAACTTAAAATTCACTGTTTACAGGTTTAATTTATTAGATGTTTTAGTAACTGTTTAAGTATTCTGGGGAAATTATGCTTGTTAGGTTATGTATGTGAAATACTTAAAAAGAAAATCAAATATATTACACTTATAAGTGGAATTAAATATGCAAGGGAATGCAATTAGGCTGTTCATAGGGTTGAATGTTTAAAGGGATTTAGTGTGTTCAACATTACTCAAAGGAAAAGGTAAGGTCATTTTTCTTGTTTTTCTAGGTTTATGTATAGAATAATAATTTCTACGTTGAATTTGATGGCTTGCAGAAAATTAGGTTTTAAAAAATTGTTGCTCCAAAGAGAATTAACTAAAGAGGTAAAAAATAAAACCAAATAAAACAAGCCACAACCTAACTGTGTCTTCCCCACCCATTCCACCTAAAATAATTCCTCCTCTGAACTTCCCATCGGCCAGATTTGTCGTTAGCAACACATAAGTATTCTTTCCCCAGAAGCATCAAGCGGCCTATCCCAAAGGGGTACTAGGATGCTTTGCAAATTGAAAATAACCACAGTGAGGATGTACAGTGTCTCACATTTCCCCTCCCAGGCCCCTACTCGGCATCACTGCCCGGTTTACAAGTCTGCTCTGGGCCTCGAATCCAGCCCCTGGTTTTCAATGCCACACCCCGATGTCAATGGCTTTTCTCTCTGGCCCAGACCCCTCCTCTGAACTCCAGAGCCAAATCCCCAGTTGCCTGTAGACATCTCAGCTGGATGTCTCAGGGGCAGCTCAAACTTAACCTGACCAAAACAGAGAGCAGCCAGAATGAGGCCATTAAAATGTAAATTAGAGCAGGTCACCACCCAGCCTAAAACCTTCCAGGGGCTTCCTGGTGCAACTAGAAAAACATAAGGCTCCTTCCCACAGGCTACAAGGCCTTATCTGAGCTGCCCCACGCCCGCCACTTCACAGCCCACTCTGCTCTGTCCCTCAGACGCCCCGACTGCAGCAGCTACAGGCCTCCCCAGCAACGTCTCCCTTATTTGAGTTCCTACTATTCGTTCAAGTCTCTGGCTAAGTGTCCCTCTGGCTACAATAGCCAACCTGTCTTCTGCTCTTCAAAGCATCGCTGGCTTGTCATTGCTGCTCCTCCCCACCCGCCCACCCGCACGCAGCAGAATGAGTGCTCGGCCCGGAGAAGGCGCTCGGAGAACCGTTGTTGCCCTGGTCGGCTGGCTCAGTTGGTTGGAGCGTGGTCCTGAGCACGAAAAGGCTGAGGGTTCGATCCCCAGTCAGGGCACATACTTAGGTGACTGATTCGATCCCCCCGGTCGGTACAGAAGGCAACCGATCGATTAGATGTTTCTCTCTCATCAGATGTGTCTCTCTCTTCCTCTTCCCCTCTCTTCTAAAAATCAATTAAAACACAAACACACACACACATCCTCCGGAGAGGATGAAAATACCTAAGTAAATAAATAATAAAATGAACGAATGAATGAACGAATAAATGAATGAATGAAATAGCTGTTGACGGCCCGAGCACCCCAAAGCCCCTGTTCTTTCTATTCCCAGGTAGGAATGATGGTGTCAGCCCTCCCGCCTTGCAGGCCAGGGTTCTCGGATGCGAAGCCCAGAGATGCGGGAAATGGGAAGAACCGCCCTTCTCCCTGGAGTCGGGCGGATGGGTTCAGCCCCCAGGACCGGACTTTTTGCCACGGGCTCCAATGTTAGCCCAGAACTTGAAACTGACCGAGGAATCAGGGACTACAGATGAGCCGGGGACCCAGACGCCCAGGCCCCTCGCTCTTCTACTTCCCACACCCGTTAAACGGAGCGGCCCGCCGGGAGGAGCGCGGGCTTGGAAAGAAGAGCCCAAGTCCTCCGGTGAGACACAGGAGACCAAAACGCAACCCTCGATGTCCCGCAAAGAAGGTACCTGGCTCGGCCCGGCCCGACGGCCCAGCGCTCCTCCTCCTCCGCCCTTGCGTTGCGAACTGCTTGCTGGGATTCGTAGTCCTTCCTTAGGTATCAGTTCTCCTTTCCCAGAAATCTTTGCGAATTAAAGCTGCAACACCATGAGGGTAGGTGGGGGGAGCGCGAGGGCTTCTGGGTGTTGTAGTTAGCAATATTCAATCAGCAAGAAATGATTGAGGAGTAAAATTGTGTAATAAATATTACCAAACAGTTTGCGCTGCTGTGATCTGAACCTTATGAGACTTTTGTCCCGCGTAAGCCATCGTTACCTCTGTGATTCAAAACGACGAGTACGGAGATTCAGAGGGGACTACATGTCCCATAAAGCACTGCACGTCGGAGGCCTTTGGAGAGCAAGGTCGGCCGCGGCGCAGGCGCGGTGTCGCGACTTCGGCGGTGGGGAAACATGGCGGCTCCGACGCTAAGTGGGAGGCTGTACTCCCTGCTCTTCCGCAGAACCTTCACCTTTGCCCTAACCATCGCCGTGGGTGCCCTGTTCCTCGAGCGTGCCTTGGATCAAGGCGCGGACGCGATCTACGAGCACATCAACCAGGGGGTGAGGGCCTAGGCCATCCATCCGTGACCTTGGGCCCACCTGAGCGTGTCAGTGGGAAGGGAAGTGGGACGGGGCGCAGTGCACCTTGACGAGGAAGAGGGGTGAACCCTGCGCGTCTTCTGTCTGCAGACTACCGTCTGCCCTTTCTGCCGGGGGTGAATCCTAAACCGTCAAACGAGGTCCATAGAGTCCACTTTGCAGGGCGTTTAAATATTGCGATCTCCCACTTTTCCACTTGCAGACCGAAGCCTAGGGAGAGCCAAGGACGTCCTAGGGCTGCAGCACCAGGAAGTCAGGGCTGGGACTGAACCCCCTGTCTCCGCGGAGGGTTTCAAGGGCAGATTGGAGCGGTGGACATGGCGAAAAGGACATCTGTCCCCGTAGACCTCGCGGCTGCCTTTTCCGATGGCGCCTTCGGTTCCCAGGGCTTCCCGCGCAAGCGGCGCGGCGTTCACTGTGGTTCCGAGTCCGGGCTGTGAAATCGGAGCCCTGCGTGGGAATACTGGGCCTCGGTTCTTTATAGCTGTGACGTTAAGTTGGGCAAGTTTCTTAGCATCTCTGAGCTTCACTTCTACCCGTGACATAGATCACAGTAACGACCTCGGATTTACTGTGAATATTATTCGAGATACAGGCAAGATGCCACCGTGCCTGCCAGGTGGTGCCACTCAGGAAAGAACATTTGTATACCCGGGTTGCGGGTTCGATCCCTGATCCCGGGTGGGGGTGCGTGGGGGAGGCAACCTACCAATGTTTCTCCCCCCCCCCCCTTCCTCTGTCTCTAAAAAAATAATAAAAACACGTCCTCAGATGAGGATTAAAAAAAGGAAGAAAATAACATCTACATTCCTCAGGAGAAATTGGAAGCATGAGGTGGGGAATCAGGCAGGCGCTGGGCTGGGTGCTGTGCAGACTTTATATCATTAAATCGTGGCTCATACTAGGAAACGTCTTGTGCAGATAGCCCTGTCCCACCATTCGTTCTGTTTGTAATGTAATTCGTTCTGTTCACGATCGCTGTGTTGCCTGTGGCCAGGGCAGCTTTCTGCCCGTATAAAGCTCCTACCGCAGTTCCATCTCCTGCAAGCAGCTCGCCGTTCCCCGTGTTTGGGAGAGACGTGGAAGTGTGTCGTCATGACTTCTGTATTTTTAGGAATGAGAGTCCAGCCAGTCCCTGACCCAGGAAGCACAGGTCTGAGGAAAGGAGAATGGCTCAGTGTGAAGTGTTTTGGGGACTCTATGCTTAGGGTCCCTAAGTCATACCTAGAGTTGAAGAAGTGAACCATCTTCCCGGCTCTGTTCCTTAGTAATTGCACTTTGGGGCAGATCCCTCAATCTCGGTTCCTCAACTTCCTATAAAAGTAATAACATCTTTTCCCACTTACTTCACATGGTGACTGAGAGCATCAAAGCTTTTTTTTTTTTTTTTTAATCCTCACCTGAGGATATGTTTTTATTGATTTTAGAGAGAGAGAGGAAGGGAGGGAGAGAAACATGGATGTGAAAGAAACATGGATCAGTTGCCTCCCTTCTGGGGATTGAACCTGCCACCTGTGCCCTGATGGGAACTGAACCCATGACCTTTCGGTGTACAAAAGGACGCTCCAACCCACTGAGCCACACCAGCCAGGGCTCAAAGCATTTTATAAACATTAGGAATGTGTGACAAGCCTGGTATTGCTTCCAATTTTCCCGCTGCAACTGTCAGGACGTGGTAAGACTTTCTCTCCAGCTTGTTTTAGGGACCAGGGCAGTGGGAGTATAATTGTAAAATGTGAGAGGGGAAACTTAAAGTTTGTGGCTTTTGTCTTTAAAATGCAGAAGCTGTGGAAACACATCAAGCACAAGTATGAGAACTAGTTCCTCGGAGACGCCCATCGAGGCCTTATGGACCAGGTGCACCCGCCAGCTGTTTGCCTGAAGCCAAGGCTTCAGCGTGAGAAGATGCTCACAGCACTGTCCACGGACCACGTTTAGCTGTTGTTACGAAATGGCTTCACCTGACAGACTCTTAACTTCTGCTGTGTTTGAAGTATGATTAGTCAGAGTCATCAGCAAATAAATGTAAGCTGTCCTTGAGACCTGCTTCCGGATTGGTGCTTTATTAACTCGGCCCGATCGTCACTGGTCAGTTCCTTGGGACCACTTCAGAGTCCTCTGCAAACATCTGAAGGGCAGTTTCCATTATTCTGGGTTTCCCATTAACTTCCAAAGAATTCTGGTTTTCAAAAACATGAGCTAGGGTTGGGGATGTGACCTGCAACTTTGTCTTCCAAACCGATAATTCCATTCTTAAATCGTGTAGAGGGGAGCTGACTGGCTTGGCCATGGGGAGGCGCTATGGCCTCAGCTGGGAAAAAAAACCCCTGGCCTGAGCACTGTGGGGCACCCCAGGCCCCAGAGTCTAGTCTCCATCCCGCCTTGAACTTGCTGTGTGTCCGGGCAAGCTGCCGTGCTTCTCTGGGCCATAACCCATCTGATGATTGAATTAGGCCAGAACTCGAAGCCTCCTGCTAGAGTTCTGCCTCTCTAAAGAGTTTGGTTTGTCCTGGTACTCACAGGTTTGAATCCTTACTCCACCCGTTCTAGTTGTGCAAGGGAAAATGCTTTTTTTATTTTTAATTTTTATTGATTTCAGAGAGGAAGGGAGAGGGAGAGACAGAAACATCAATATCAATGATGAAAGAGAATCATTGATGGGCTGCCTTCTGCATGCTCCACGTTGGGGATGGAGCCCGCAACCCAGGCATGTGTCCTGACCGGGAATCAAACTGTGACCTCCAGGTTCATAGGTCAACGCTCAACCACTCAGCTACGCCAGCTGGGCTGAATGGAATTTTGAATGGAAATTTCAGCCAAGTAAAGATCAAGGGGAAGAGCATTCCAAGAAAAGAGAACCGTAAGTGCAAAGCCCCTGAGGTCAGTGTGAGCTTGGTTTACCCACTGACCTGAAATGAGGGAGGAAGGGAGAGAGAGGGCCAGATACCGGGTGGCCTTGTCGGCCGTGCTAAAGGAGTTCAGATTTTATTCTAAGACAGGGAAGCCCTGGGGGAGTTTCTGATCAATAGCTTACATTTGTCAGCTTCTTAATATGAACCAGGCATTGTATTAAGTGCTTTGCAGTTTCCGTGTCACTTAACGTGAATGATGATCCAATAATCCATATTATTATTACCACTGAGTGGCTGGAGGGAAGTGTAAAGAGCACTGATTTTTAAGAATGGACAGTCCTGGGTGAATTCAAGCACCAGCGCTCCCTGGCTGTGTGAACTTGGGCAAGTTACTTCCCTGCTCTGAGCCAATTTCCTCATCTGTGAAATACCCTCTGTGAGATTGCACAATGGCAGCTACGATTCCTCTGATTTCTGGAGACATCATCTTAAAGGGGTGTCAAGAGGCGTAAGGATCACCGTGCAGTAAATCTTCCCCTGCTGGCTGCTTAATTAACCCAGCGGGGGCTACCCAGAAGCCCAGGTCCTGCAGGGCTGCCTGCCAAGGCGCGGAACTTCTCAGCTCTGGGTGGAGTCCAAATTGTCCTGGCAGCTCAAAACAAAAAGGAAAGCCCAGCCCTCGGAACATTCTAGGCTCGTCCCCGGTGGACACAAGGATGCTGCCTATCACAGGCTGGGATCCCTGGGAAATGGACTCTTCAGTGCACAGGAGCTTTATTAAGAAGTGCCCTGGGGGTCAGCGAAGGAAGGGAAGGAAACAGAACTGGCAGAGGGAGAAGGCAGATGCAGGCGCAGTCTCAGCGGAGGCCTCTGCTGACCCCGATCCCCAGGGAGTTCTGAGAACGGGATGACCTTCCAGAGCTGTCCTGAGCAGGGTGAGAGGGCAGCCCTTTAAAAAAAAAGGTATATATATATATATATATATATATAGATAGATAGATAGATAGATATACATATATGTTTGTATTGATTTCAGAGAAGAAGGGAGAGAGAGAGAAACATCAATGAGGAGAGAGAATCATTGATCGGCTGCCTTCTGCACACCCCATACTGAGGATCCGTTGCTGCCACCTGGGCATGTGCCCTGACCGGGAATTGAAACGTGACCTGGTTCATGGGTCGACACTCAACCACTGAGCTACACTGGCCGGCAAGAGGGCAGCCCTGTACAGTCACGTCAATCACCCACTGAGGCTGCTGCCTAGGAAGGAGGCAGAATGGGGCAGGGCAGTTCTTGGCGTGGCTGACCTCTGACGGGGCTGACAGCTGAGGCCGCTGGCGATAGCACTTCCAGCATCCCACTCCTGTGGGGGATCCGGGCACCAAATCTGAGCATCCACTACACCCCTCTACATCCTCAGGCCCACACGAATGGATTTGCAAAACAGAAATAGCTAGATAGACTTTTACTTATTAAACTCAGAAGGTTTTGTTATTGTAATACCTGGCATGAGCAAAGAGATGTGGTCTGGTCATTCTCAAATCCTGCTGGTGGGAAGGCCAACTTGACAGTCAAAAACTTTGACCCAGCCCAGCCAGCGTGGCTCAGTGGTTGAGCATCGACCTATGAACCAGGAGGTCATGGTTCAATTCCTGGTCGGGGCACATGTCCCGGGTTGCAGGCTCCATTCTCAATGTGAGGCATGCAGGAGTCAGCCAGTCAAACGATTCTCTCTCATCATTGATGTTTCTATCTCTCTTTCCCTCTCCCTTCCTCTCTGAAATATCAATAAAAATATATTTTTAGAAAAACTTTGACCCAGCCGTTCTATTTCTAAAATTTACCCTGGGAAAATAATCATGGGCTGGGTGAACATTTAGCCAGCAGGCTGGCTGCTCATTGTAGTTTAGTAGCAAATAATGAGGAACAACCTAGGTGCGCACTACAGGGCACTGGTACAAGAGAATACTATTACGCCCTTAAAAAGGATGAGGATGAGAAATGGGAGAAATGTTCACAATGTCTTTTTTTAATTTTTTTTATTGATTTTTTTACAGAGAGGAAGGGAGAGAGAGAGAGAGTCAGAAACATCGATGAGAGAGAAACAGCGATCAGCTGCCTCCCGCACACTCCCCACTAGGGATGTGCCCGCAACCCAGGTACATGCCGTTGACCGGAATCGAACCTGGGACCCTTCAGTCCGCAGGCCGATGCTCTATCCACTGAGCCAAACCGGTTTCGGCCACAATGTCTTAATAACTGAAACAGTGGTGATAACAGCACGTGTCTGTGGTAAGATCGTGTGTGTGTGTGTGTGTGTGTGTGTGTGTGTGTAAAACCAATGTGTATATCCCTTTTTCTGAAATAATGCTAGAAGGATAAGAACTAAAACCCCAACCGTAATTATGTCCAGATGGTAGGATTATGGTGGTTTTCTTCATCTCTGCCTTGTGTGAAGAACACTGAGCATATGACTGCTTTTGTAATAAGGAGAGGGGGGAAGCAATGTAAGTGGTAAAAAGAAATAGATTCCATCCTGTAACTCAGCCAGCCCTTCCAATTCGAAGGGACAAGGACTGTCCTACAAATGAGTCTGGTGTCTTCCAAGGAAAGAAGAGAAATCAATGAATTTAAAATGTCTGAGCAGCCCTAGCCGGTTTGGCTCCGTTTAATTCCGGTCAAGGGCACATGCCCTGGTTGCAGGCTCCATCCCCAGTGTGGGGTGTGCAGGAGGCAGCCGATCCATGATTCTCTCTCCTCATGGATGTTTCTCTCTCTCCCTTCCTCTCTGAAATCAATAAAAATATATTTAAAAGAATAAAAAATAAAATGTCTGAGCAACGTGTAAAGTTGGAGGGAATACCAATTCTTCAGGCAAGATGGAAGTCATGGCAGCTGCTCGAGTGTCAGTGAGGGATGGGCACTGTGGGCCAGGGGCAGGCACAGCGCCCACGGGAGACACACACACACACACACACACACACACACACACCCCTGCCTTCTCTGGGCACTGACCCAAGGCCCGGCCTGGGCTGGGTGCTGTTAATATGCCCCGTGTCCCTGGATCTTCATGCCGAGGTGGGCGCCAATCTCCACCCCATTTTCCAAGTGGAAGTGAGCTCAGAGGTTAGCGCCCCGCCCAGGGTGACAGCTAGTGAGAGTGGAGCGGGACAGCTGGCTCAAGGCTACACGCGCATGCACTGCTCCACACCCTGTAAAAACCATTTTTCTCTTTTCATTGGGGCCTTGGCCTGAGAGGCTGGGATTTACGCACCGACTGAATGTCAAGGGCAGACTCCAGCCGGCCTCAAGGACAAGGCGATGATGAAATGCAGAGGAGTGCTGGCGAGGAGCCGTCCTGCTGCACAGAGCCTTCCTCAGCGGCTCGGGGCCCTTCCTCTTCCCTGCGTCCTGTCCTTGGAAGGCTGCCAGATCAATGTCCCAACACCGTCAATGGCTCCCCACTACCTGCAAGATCAAGTTCACATTCCTTAGCCTGACATTTAAGATCCAGGCTACCTCTATCGTCACTTCAGAAACCTTCCAGCTAGGGTTGCTGCTGTGGGTCCCTTTGCCCACCCTGATGTGCCGAGGCATGGGCTGTGGACACGGAGCATGCCTGCGTTTGGATTCCAACCAGGTGAGTTGCTTTCTGTGAGCCTTGTTTCCCCATGTGGAAAATGGGGTAATAATAATAATAATAATAATAATAATAATAATTCACAGACGATAGCTGAGATAATGCTTGTGGCATGTTTAGCACAGGCTTATGAGCCAGTGTCACCTGCAGGGAGTGAACCAACAGGGGCTCCCTGCATGGTCTTCAGGGGCCAGTGCGGAGCTTTGGGGATGACTGTACGGCGGAATCATCCAGGCGTCCCCCCACCCCACCCCTGCTGTTTAAAACCATGTTCACCGACATCCTCCCATCCCTCGAGGCCCACTCACTTTCCTGGGACCCCCTTTGTGTCCCCGGGAAATCTCACTTCAGCATCTCTGACACTGTTTAGACCCCGGCAGTCACGTGTCATCCATCTGCAGGCAGCCCTTATCTCCGCCCCACACCTGTCGCCATGAAACCGACGCCTCTCCTCTCTGTCTCCCCTCCTGCCTGAGGTCTGAGCAGACTTGTCTCCCTCCCACACTGGTCTCCCTAGGGCTGCGATGCCCTGCGACTCCTTGTTGCCGTGGCTCACTGAGTTTTCCTAATGAAACACCTTCTTCCCATGGGGCCCTCCCAAGAGGCAACCCTTTCTCCCACAGGCCCACAGGGGAGACTGGCAGAGCGGAGACTTGGAAAATACATTCTGCTCGACTTCCTGCTGTCCTCCTCTCCCCTGTCCCTCTGTCAATGGAGTAACTTGATCATATCAACAGAAGTATGGTGTTTAGAACAAAGAAGGTGACATGCCCTCTTTCCCATTCTTAGTCAACCACATGTGGAGGGAGAACCATTGATTGGCTGCCTCCTGCACGCCCCCTACTGGGGATCGAGTCCACAACCCGGGCACGTGCCCTTGACTGGAATCGAACCTGGGACCCTTCAGTCCCCCGCAGGCCGACGCTCTGTCCACTGAGCCAGACCAGTCAGCGCAAGGTTCACTGCTTTTAGCACGTCCCCCAAGGCGTGGTCTCACCTGACCCTTACCATCACCCCTGTCCATGAGGCAAGGACTGGGAGAACCATCGTCCCCACTTCTCACACCAAAAAATGGAGGCCCAGAGAGGCCAAGAGACAGACCAAAGGTTACACAGTTTATTGCAGTCCAGGGCCCAGCCCCCAGCCTGCTGGCCCTTCATCACGTGCTCCTGTCCCCACCCCACGCCACCTTTGTGACCAAAGGAGCAATAGAAAGGATGGGCATGTGAGGCTGGGAATGTTACGTGTGAAAGAACGCTAAGTAGATCAGACCAGGCGATGAGCGATGGGGTGAGAGTCTGCCTGTAAACCCTGCACGTAAAATCCCTAAGTGTCCAGGAATAATTAAATCCGTCCTCATCCCGCTGGGGGCCCCTTTTCTATCAGGCTCTTCTGTGCAAACCACTATCAGGGGAGAAAACCATAATTACTGCCTGGGGTGACAGCACACTTCGGGGACATGTCAGCGTGCGGTGGGTGGGCTCACGCAGCCAGAAAAGGCATGTTCGGTGGCATGATTTCCTATTTGGAAAACGGGAATTAAGTGCCCGTTGTTTTTGGAATTCAGGGCACAGCAAGTGAAGCTTGGCACAGCCTCCCTGGCTGGCAAAGACCCACAGCAGCCCCGTGGATTCCTAAGCAGGGAAGGCTCCCCTCCCCCAGGGGAAGAGGGAGTATCTGAAATCCTGGGAGTGGGGGAGGGGAGGATAGGGTTGGGGGGGTGGTTTGGAGGTTTACATAGGTTAAGAAATTGTGGGCTAGGTGCCCTTTAAGGCTCTCCGAGTTCCGCCAGTCTGTAAAATCCTCTGGATGATTATTGATTGTGGGAAGAGAATTTCCAGTCTGATGTGAAGTCAGAGTTTCGTGTTCATTCTAAGACACTGCCACCCCCACCGCACCAACGGCTGGGATGGTCGTCTTCAGACCGTTGGTTAACCTCGGTTCAGGCTGCAGAACTGCCACCACCTCAGCCCGCAGCTGAGGCCCCTGCTGGCTGCTCCGGCACCTATAGATTAATATTGATTTGTTGTTCCACGCAGCCACACATTCACTGATTGATTCTTCTATGTCCCCTGACCGGGGATCGGACCTCCAACCTTGGCATATCCGGACGATGCTCCAAACAGCCAAGTTACCCAACCAGGGGCAGCACCTATGGCTTTAGGGAGACCTGATGCCGGGCTGCCCCTCGCTGTCAAGGGTGATCTAGAGAGCTCCCCACGGGCCCTGGCCCCCCACTTCCCCTCACTGACTACCCTTTCCCAGCAGGGTTCCCTGGGGCTCCCCAGCTCCTTCTAGCCATCCCCTAAGCATGTTCTGGGGTCCAGCACTCCCTCCTCACCTGAGTCCCCTCTCCCTCCTCTGTGATGTCAAGTTCCTTTCAAGATAGGCTCATTCTCTCGCCTTGTCTTCCTCATTTTCCGTTCTTTCCACTGGCTGCCTCCCCTCCGTGGCAAAGCTGGAGCAGAGCCCCGAGGAGCTCCATTGCCTTAGCCTGGTCGATCTTGGCTGCTGCCTGACACCGTGACCACCACCCTCAGCTTCTGGAAAGTCTCTTGGCGCTCAGCCACTTTCTGTTGACCTTGCCTCCTCATTTCTTCATTTATTTATTAGCACTTAGCCAAACGGATACTAATAATTTTTCCAAAAATGTCTTAACTCCATGAGGGTGGGGACCAGGTCTTTCTCACACGTACCTGTGCAGCGCCTGCACACGTGTCCTCCCCTCCCCTGGCCCGCCCAGCCAGTCGGCCGAGCACCCATGCCCAAACCCTGAGGGCAGGCAGCAAACATTCAAAGCTAATGCTCTGGCCCAGCCTGTGTGGTTCAGTGGTTGAGCGTTGACCTATGAACCAGGAGGTCATGGTTCGATTCCTGGTCAGTGCACTTGCCCGGGTTGCAGGCTCAGCCCCCAGTAGGGGGTGCGCAGGAGCAGCCGATCAATGATTCTCTCTCATCATTGGTGTTTCTATTTCTCTCTCTCTCCCTTCCTGTCTGAAATCAATAAAAATATATTTTTTAAAAAAGGTGGGCTCCAGGAGACAATCCTGGGACTGCATCCCTCCTTAGCCACTTGCTCAGTGTGCGACCTTGGGCAGGCTGTCTGCCTTCTCTTAGCCTCAATCGTCTCACCTGTGCCTGAGAAGTAACAAGACAAGACAAGGAAAGAGCCCAGTGACACTGGCCATGCAAGTCCTCAGTAAGTACCTTTATTTTCACTACAATTCATCGTGGTCTCATCATCGTGTTCATTCATGCACATTCCCTTCCAGATGTGGTCTGTATGCAAAATCTTTTCTTTCTTTCTTTTTTTTTTACATTTTCACCAGCATGTATTCTGCTTTCAAACTTTAAAAAACATCATTCTTGAATATTTAGTTTCCCACGTGGCTAGCATCATTTCACTGACGTATAAAAAGGCTGTTCCACCCCCACCCCCACCCCATTTTTGGTGGGTTTGTTTTTATTTTTATTCCCTCCCTGTATTATTTACCCCAAGCTCTTGGTGTAACAGGGACAGGCAGGTTCTTGACAACCATTTCCTCCTCCGGCTGCACCTGCTGGCTCGGGGGCCCTCAGAAAGGCTCTGCTGCAGGCCCTGCCGCTAACTCGCCCTGGGCTCCGGGCAAGTCACTCCCTGTGCTCCCGGCTCCCTTCTATAAACAATGACGCGCTCTGTCCACCCACTCACAGCACAGAAGCGCTGTCCAAACAAACATGCTAACCGTCATCGCCACTCACGGACTAGAAACAAACACGATTCTCTCTCAGAGGCACAAGGTCTTAAAAGCTTCCTGGGAAATGCCTGTCATAGTCATGTTCTCTGCCAGGGAACAGAGAAGGCACTTGAAAATTCTTGCTTCAGAAGCAGGAATGGTTGGACCCCAGTGAGCCAGTGGGCAGGGTTCAGGGCCCCCGTCCCACTTCACTTAGAGCACTTCTGCCATTGCCCGTCTTAAACCTTGGGGCTGCCTCAGAGGATTTAACAGGCACCAAGTGTAAACCATTCATCTGGGCCAATGTACCCACTTTGCAGATGAGAAAACTGAGACCCTATGAGGTGAAGGGTGTGCCTGCCAGCACCATTCTGCATGACCCTGAGCTGTTTTCAACGCATCCCTGAAAGGGTGCTCTCAAGATCTGGAATGAGAAAGCATGCAGATCCCCCAGGGAGGCTCAATTTGACCTGGCGGGGCGTTCTGGAAAATTGGAAAAATCCCTTCTGTCTTCTCAAGGCCTTTAAGCCAGGAAGCGGGTGCGGCCTGGACACCACTCTGGTGGTCAGGAGGTGCAGACGGCAGAGTGAAAGGAGAGGGGCCAAGTGGACAGTAACAGGTACGACATGTAAAGGCCGGGAGCTCCCCTGACCCGCCTCCCTTTGCTCCAGGGACAAGCTGGGCCAGTGACAGAACAAGAACGGCCCCGCCCGAGACCTGGCAAATGCCGGCGGGAGGAAACAGTCCTCCTGCCGCCTGGCGGGGTGGCTGCCCGGTCCTGATCTCAGCTAATTCGGCAGCGCGAGGGGAGGACACCGCCCCCAGGTCAGCTCTGCATCTCCAACGCACCCAGAGACCGTGCGCGACGCGGGAGAACGGCCATCGATTTTCACTGGAGCGGGCTGACCGCACACAACCAATCTGTCAAGGGCCTGTCTGCCTCGCTGCTTCAGAGGCTCATCCTGACCACATGCAAATGAACTGTCCTGGCAACCAGAGTGATCGTCAAGGCCCAGCTGGGCAGGGGCCCTGGCTTCTGCTGCTAGGATCAGCCCAGCGACTGCCCCACCGCTGACCCGCCATTGTGCAGTCACATTCTGAAGGCCCGGGAATCGGGATGACGGCAGCTGCTGCCACGCTCGGAGCCAGTTGGCCATGCCGGGGAGGGGGTTCTGGGGAACCAGGGCCAAGTCCCACTCGCTCCAACAGGGCCTGGCAGTAACATCCTCATTTGCTTCTTCTGATCTCCGACCCCTCATTTCTGTAGGATTTATGGTATACGCACAACCAAGAGGCACTGAGTTCTGGTCCGGGCTCTGCGCTGGCCAAGTGTCCTCAGGCCAGCAGAGACGGAGGTGACACCACCCAGGGGCCGGGGGCCTGACAGAGGCCAGGGGGCCGCCTGCGTGTCCATCCCTGTTGGCCCACTCCTAGCTATGGCCCAGGCCGGCGCCGTGAGCTCAGGGCCTCCCCTTCCTCATCTGTGCTCTGGGGCCGACAACGGGGCCTGCCTCCTCGGGAGCAGGTGGTGGGGACCAAAGGAGAACAGACAGGACTGCAGGTCCTCACACCCGCGTCCTTCCTTCCACAAGCAGGAGCTGGAGAAGGGAGCGATGTTCCCAGGGACACACAGCAAGGCAGAGCGGCATCGGGAGGGGAGCCACGTGAGGCAAGCACGACAGGCTGATGGGAAGGACCCGGTGACGTCCTGCCCTCCTCCGTGGCTGTCACGGGAGGATGGGACACGGGGACGGCGGGTCACGGGCACGTCATGGACGATTGCTTAAAAGGGTCAAACGCTTTATTCTATTCGCAGGCTTTTGTTTGGAATACACAGGTTTCCTGCCGTCCAGAGGAAAGGGACGCGGTGTCGCTGCAAGAGGTTTTGGGCCTCGCCTTGGGGCTCTCCCTCCCTTCTGCCCGTGGCTGGCCCAGGCTCCTCTGCTGTGGGATAAGGCACTGTGTGTTCTGCAAGAGGGTGCTCACGGCTGGCTGGTGGACAACGAGGCGGCCTTCTCAGGGGCTGCAAAGCTGAGGCGGCTGAGGGGTCGAGCTGAACTTGGGTCTCTGGCGAGGAGGCCTAGAGCTCTGGAAACAGCCTGGCGGGCTTGGCACCGCTGCCTCCTCGCGGGCCCTGGTGTGGCGGCTTCAGGAGGGAATCATGCCTTTATTCCGTTTGCGGTCGGCCATGGTCCTCCGGTTGTGATTGGCTCGTGTTGACTTGTTCGCTTCCTTCTTCCTGCGTTCCTGGGTTGTCTCACGGTTCTGCCCGTGGCCCCGGGGGCTGCCGGCCACAGCTGCTGAGCTGTCATGTCGGTACCTAAGGGAGGAACGACCATCCCCAGGAGAACCATCAGCCAGAGGAGCTCCGCCAGGAAGAGCCCCGGCCCTCCTTGAAGATCCCTGGGAAAGGGCGCAGCTTGGGCCAGGCCCCCCATGAACCCCCCTTCCAGCGGGAGGAGGAGTGGAGCCTCGCGGGGGCGGGGCTCGGGGCCCTGGCAGCTATGTCTGGTGATTTCTCTTCTCCGAGCCTGGCCTGCAGATGGGACCCTGGCTGGGCGGTGAGGAAGGACCAGCTAGTGGGCAGCCTTCTCCGAGCCTGGCCTGCGGATGGGACCCTGGCTGGGCGGTGAGGAAGGACCAGCTAGTGGGCAGCCCACACTAGGGAGGAGGAAGGCTTGGGGATGGGTCCCCTCCTCCATCCGGGGCCTGGTGCTGGCGGCCACCAAGTGCCCTTCTGGGCTCTTTCACGTGTCACAGTCTGCCTGACACCAGCCAGCGGCTGGACACATCGGGCTCTCACACGAGGGGACACGCTTCAGCGTCTGTCAAGTAGCGGGTGTAAGGGTGGGCCGCAGAGCTGGCCGCCTGGACTCCCGGAGGGCTCCCTCCCACCAGAAACAGCTCCTGAATTCTCACCCCTTCCTGGCGAGAAAGGCCATGCGCCTGGCTTCCGCCTTCTCCCGTAGCACCGCAGGGTCCTGCACAAAATGGTCGGGCTGCGGAGGGGAGGGGGAGAAAGAATCACGCGTCGTCCCAGATCCCCAAGCTGCGGCGAGACTGCACTGACTGAATCTCGTCGATGCCTCCATGCCAGGAGCCGGGGGAGCCACAGCAGGGTGGGGCCCGGCCCCAGAACACCTCCTCCGTCCCTTCCCCCAACTGCCCAAGGGGGAGGCAGCACTGGGACGGAGGGTCCTGGACGGCATGGTCGGGGGGGGTTGGGGGGGTGACTATAGCTGGAACATAACGACAAATGGGAGCGATGGGGCTGGTGGCCTGGCCCCGAATCTATCACCCTGGTGGGGGCCCTGGGCTGCCCTCCATTCAACCTGAGCATCACCGCTTTCCACTGTCCTCTATGGTGAGGTTCTAGTTAAGATTTTATTTGAAGAAAATGTTTAGCTGCTAAAAAATAAAATTTTCAAACCCACCAGCCCAGATGGTCTCCCAGGGCCCGTGGACTCTGAGGCTTCTCTGATTTTAGAAATTGCCATCCTGGGCACGGAGGCAGGCGGCTGCCCTCTCCCGGCCCCTGGCTCCTGGGCCGAGGGAACCCAGCAGCTCGAAGGCCCGGCCTCTGGTCCATTCCCTGGGCCCTCCCTGGGCAGCGGAGGCGAGTCCGAAGCCAGCAGCTCCCCGAGCAGACATCTGGGCTTGAAGGTGCCCTCTCCGCCGGCACTGAGGCGGGGCTGCCTCCAGGCCAGCAGGAGGGGGTACAGTGCTCTCCACTGCCCTTTAGAGCTGCGCCCTCCTCCCTCATCCGCCACCTGCCGAGGAGGTACCTTGGGGGCCTCGTCTTCAGCTTCCTCCTCCTCATCATCATCCTCCTCCTGCCCTTCTGTGGGCACTTTGGTTCTTAGCACTTGAGGGATGGTGAAGGGTCTATGGTTTAGAGAGAAGGTCAAATCAAAGGCAACATTAAACTCAGAGCCTCAGGGCAGAGGGAACGGGGCGGGTGAGGGGCCTGATGGGACAGGCTGAGGAGGCTGGGAAGAACCGAAGTGCCTTTCCCGCCAGCTCTGCTCCAGCCCCCGGATTCTCCGAGGGTCCCAGGGTCTGACGTACGGGCTTGGGGGGGACTGAGCGTGGGCCGGGGGGCTCCCTAGTTCAGTTTTCATCTGTATTGGGTAATCTCCATCTAAACCCACTGGGAAAGGCTTTCTGCAACTGAGAGCAATGTGAAACTACTGCATGAAGTTAAATTAGGGGACCCACTGAGAGTGGGTTGGACCAACCAGCCAAGGGGTGAGTGGGGCTGGAGAGAGCACTGGACTCGGAGATTGGGCCCTGGTTCTGCCACTGACGTGCTCATGTGATCAGGGCCTCGGCCCCCCCACGTGTATAAACAAGAGGCTCTGGGAGAGCCCCGGGGCCCGAAAGCCACGCTGCCCCCGGAATTCCACCCTCTACCTGCCCCGTGGCCTCACCTGCGGCTGATGAGCTCATCGTCGGAGTCGGCATCGTTGGCGCCCACCTGGTTGCCATCATACGTGTCGTCATACTCATCCTCATAGTCATCGCCGCGGTAGGACAGGCCCTCGCCTGGCTGCAGCGGCACCTGCAGTGGCAGACGGGTGGGTCAGAGGGGCCCAGGGCCGCTGGTCTCCCCAGCCAGCCGGAGCCCCGCAGCCCGGCACCTACCTCCTCCACCACCGCACTGTACTGCTCGGAGCCCCGCAGCCCGGCACCTACCTCCTCCACCACCGCACTGTACTGCTCGGAGCCCCGCAGCCCGGCACCTACCTCCTCCACCACCGCACTGTACTGCTCGGAGCCCCGCAGCCCGGCACCTACCTCCTCCACCACCGCACTGTACTGCTCGGAGCCCCGCAGCCCGGCACCTACCTCCTCCACCACCGCACTGTACTGCTCGGAGCCCCGCAGCCCGGCACCTACCTCCTCCACCACCGCACTGTACTGCTCGGAGCCCCGCAGCCCGGCACCTACCTCCTCCACCACCGCACTGTACTGCTCGGAGCCCCGCAGCCCGGCACCTACCTCCTCCACCACCGCACTGTACTGCTCGGAGCCCCGCAGCCCGGCACCTACCTCCTCCACCACCGCACTGTACTGCTCGGAGCCCCGCAGCCCGGCACCTACCTCCTCCACCACCGCACTGTACTGCTCGGAGCCCCGCAGCCCGGCACCTACCTCCTCCACCACCGCACTGTACTGCTCGGAGCCCCGCAGCCCGGCACCTACCTCCTCCACCACCGCACTGTACTGCTCGGAGCCCCGCAGCCCGGCACCTACCTCCTCCACCACCGCACTGTACTGCTCGGAGCCCCGCAGCCCGGCACCTACCTCCTCCACCACCGCACTGTACTGCTCGGAGCCCCGCAGCCCGGCACCTACCTCCTCCACCACCGCACTGTACTGCTCGGAGCCCCGCAGCCCGGCACCTACCTCCTCCACCACCGCACTGTACTGCTCGGAGCCCCGCAGCCCGGCACCTACCTCCTCCACCACCGCACTGTACTGCTCGGAGCCCCGCAGCCCGGCACCTACCTCCTCCACCACCGCACTGTACTGCTCGGAGCCCCGCAGCCCGGCACCTACCTCCTCCACCACCGCACTGTACTGCTCGGAGCCCCGCAGCCCGGCACCTACCTCCTCCACCACCGCACTGTACTGCTCGGAGCCCCGCAGCCCGGCACCTACCTCCTCCACCACCGCACTGTACTGCTCGGAGCCCCGCAGCCCGGCACCTACCTCCTCCACCACCGCACTGTACTGCTCGGAGCCCCGCAGCCCGGCACCTACCTCCTCCACCACCGCACTGTACTGCTCGGAGCCCCGCAGCCCGGCACCTACCTCCTCCACCACCGCACTGTACTGCTCGGAGCCCCGCAGCCCGGCACCTACCTCCTCCACCACCGCACTGTACTGCTCGGAGCCCCGCAGCCCGGCACCTACCTCCTCCACCACCGCACTGTACTGCTCGGAGCCCCGCAGCCCGGCACCTACCTCCTCCACCACCGCACTGTACTGCTCGGAGCCCCGCAGCCCGGCACCTACCTCCTCCACCACCGCACTGTACTGCTCGGAGCCCCGCAGCCCGGCACCTACCTCCTCCACCACCGCACTGTACTGCTCGGAGCCCCGCAGCCCGGCACCTACCTCCTCCACCACCGCACTGTACTGCTCGGAGCCCCGCAGCCCGGCACCTACCTCCTCCACCACCGCACTGTACTGCTCGGAGCCCCGCAGCCCGGCACCTACCTCCTCCACCACCGCACTGTACTGCTCGGAGCCCCGCAGCCCGGCACCTACCTCCTCCACCACCGCACTGTACTGCTCGGAGCCCCGCAGCCCGGCACCTACCTCCTCCACCACCGCACTGTACTGCTCGGAGCCCCGCAGCCCGGCACCTACCTCCTCCACCACCGCACTGTACTGCTCGGAGCCCCGCAGCCCGGCACCTACCTCTCCACCACCGCACTGTACTGCTCGGAGCCCCGCAGCCCGGCACCTACCTCCTCCACCACCGCACTGTACTGCTCGGAGCCCCGCAGCCCGGCACCTACCTCCTCCACCACCGCACTGTACTGCTCGGAGCCCCGCAGCCCGGCACCTACCTCCTCCACCACCGCACTGTACTGCTCGGAGCCCCGCAGCCCGGCACCTACCTCCTCCACCACCGCACTGTACTGCTCGGAGCCCCGCAGCCCGGCACCTACCTCCTCCACCACCGCACTGTACTGCTCGGAGCCCCGCAGCCCGGCACCTACCTCCTCCACCACCGCACTGTACTGCTCGTAGCGCTGCCGCTGCGCCGCCACCGCCCGCTTGTCGTTCAGCAGGCTCCTCGCGTTCTCCTCCTTCCTGGCGTTGAGCGGAAGCAGCGAAGGAGAGAGGAAAGGACCATCAGGCTCCGAGGCTGTGTCCAGGGTCCAGAGAGACTGTGGGCTCCTTTCTTTACCCTCAGGCCAGAGCAAACGGGGACGACTCCTACCTAGCCCTGGCGGGGTGCGGGGGGGTGGGACTCACCGCTGCTGGTGCCCATGTGCCCGGGCCCAGCGCTTTAGAGGGCACCCCAGGAGCAGCTGTTAGAATATAGAACAGCCCTGACTGTTTGGCTCAGTGGATAGAGCGTCGGCCTACAGACTCAAAGGTCCCAGGTTTGATTCCAGTCAAGGGCATGTACTTTGTGGGCACATCCCCAGTAGGGGGTGTGCAGGAGGCAGCTGATCGATGTTTCTAACTCTCTATCCCTCCCCCTTCCTCTCTGTAAAAAATCAATAAAATATATTTAAAAAAAAAAAGAAAGAATATAAAACACCCTCTAACCAGAAAATTCCCCTTCGGGGCACCCGCCCTAGAGAAACGCTGGCTGTGTGCACCAAGAGATCTGCCGGGGGGTTTTCTGTTTTCAGCATCGTCTGTGAATCGTGAAAATGGAAAGCAACCAATGCCCATCACCAGTGAGATGGCTGAATGACCTGGGCCACACCTCTACCACCGCACGCCCTGCGGCAGCTCTCAAGAATGACGTCGATCTGCTCATGCTGATGGAGAAAGAATTCTGAGAAGGAAAAACCCGGCTACAGAAAATGCATACGGCACGATCCCATCTGTACGAAAGGCTGAAAGTAAGACTGTCTGTTCCGGTGGGCACGTCTGTACCTGTGTATGTGAACGCACAGAGCGGTAGTGAGCCCCACCCAATGACAGTGGGCACCCCCGGGAGGGCCCGGGGTGTGTGAATCTTTTAAAACAAACATTTAAGAAGGGGCAGGGCCACATGTGGTTTTCCTACTGAGCTCAGGGGAGCCCAGGGGATCTTGGGTGTGAGGGTCAGGAGGGGTCCTGACCTCTTCCTCTCACTCCCACTTCACCATGGCGGCCTCTCACTGGCCTGTGTTCAGTCTTGCATGTCTTATCGCACGGGGAAATGCCTGTAAGTTCATTCCCGACGTATCACAGATGAGGGAGCGTGGGTGCAGGGCAGGGGAGGGACTGCCCGGGAGGGCCATGAGCTAGCACTGCCACAGTGGGGACTCAGGCCTCCTGACTCATAGCTCTGCGAATCTGTAGAAAAACCTGGCTTGTCAGACACGGAGGCCTGTGGAATGCAGTTTTGAGCCCTGCAGGGGAAAATCAATATGAGATGCTAGGCAAGAAAGTCCAGCTTAGCTGTGAAATCAGGCCTCTGGAATGTACCAAGGGGAAGGGGGTGGGAGTGGGAAGAGACACAAAGCCATACGCAGCCTCCATCAAAACCTTCTATTAACTGGCTTTTGATACAAGCAGGGGTAGGCGCCTGCGTCTGTGGGGCTGTCTGCCGCGGAGCTTGGGGCAGGTCAGGACTGCAGCCTCCAGCACAGGACTGGACTTCTCTCAGCAGCTTTTACTAAGGGCCTACTATGTGCCAGGCAGGGTACTAGTACTGAGTGGGGGCGAGATTCAGGAAAGAGTAGATATGGGTCTGACTGCATGGAACTCACAGTCTAGTGAGGGTGACGGGCAAAAGCAGACAGCATGAAGTGTGCCGCATGGAAGCCAGCATGCCCTGGGAGTTCAAGTGTGACCTGCCTTGTGCTATTCATTTCTCCTGCACTCCTGAGGGCAGGGCCAGGGCCCTGAGCCCTCTGGCCTACCCAGATTAGGACAGGTGTCCCCACCAAGCCCCTCATGCCCACCCAGCCCCTCTCCCCCTTTATCACTGCGTACCGCATGGCCTGTCTTTCCCACGGTCTCTGTGCCGTTTTAGGGCGAAGCCTGGGTGCCCTGTTCACGTTGTCTCCCTACTGTTTAGCTCAGGATCCAGCGCTGGTAAATTGCTTAATAAATATTTGCCGAATGAATAAATAATGAGTACACGGACAAAGGCTTTGCCTCTTTGCAAACCTCAGCCCTGGGCTACCCGGCACAATGAGTTCAGTAAACAGCTGCCACCCAGACTCTGCCTGGCGGCCGGGAGCGCCCGCCCCGTAGGGCACAGCCCTCCTGTCTGCCCCTTTACCCACAGCCCCAGCTCCAGAGGCTCCTTCTGGCCTGGAACAGTGGCCACTGAAGCAGGAGACCATTGCTGGCCTCGGATCTGCGGCTGTTGCAATGTGTGTGACTAAGCAGATTCCAATTGCTTCCTGTCCAGCCAGCCAGATGACTTTATAGCTGGCCTATGCCCGCGCTCCAGCACTTGGCCAGCCAAGCTCCCAGTGGCCCTGGGGAGGGGAAGTCGATGGGCGCCCCACTGCAGCAGCAGCTTGCGATTCTGCCACTGGGGATCCTGGCGTAAGGACGGGCAGGTCCCCACCCTGTCTCAACGGCACTGTCTCCATCATAAGCCGGGGAAAGGGCAGGCTGTGCTCGCCCAGCGGTGCCCAGATTTCTGGATTTCATCAAACACCACCCCTTAGGGGAACTTTGGGAGACAAGCACAGTGTTGTCAACGTCTTATTTTTGCCATTCTCTACTATGCTGTCCCCTCTGCCATCACAGCCGACTCTCAGTCCCTCCCAGGGGCTTCCCTCCCAAAGTCAGGTGATCTTTCCAGAACAAAGTGTACTGGCCATTGTGCTCTCTGCGTGGAAGCTTCTCCTCCCCCACTCTGCACGGACCCTTTCCCCCGTTCCTCCCCTGGTCCCATGTCATTGCCTCAGAGGAGCCTTCCTGCCTGGATTGCTCGAAGCCCCTGCCAGCGGCGTGGAGGTCTGCTCGCTCCACCTGTAGCACCTGTTATAACCGACTTTACGTTGCTGTTCGATGAACTGATTAGTACAAACGCATGTGGGCAGGGGCATGTCTGTTCCACTCCCTGGGGAGAGTTTGGGTCCCTCTGGCCTTTTGCTATCAATGAGGAGGACTCACTAAAATGCATTTTTAACTGTTGTGATGATTCTGAAATACAACTGTTAAAGAACCTGCACCCAACTGAAAAAACAAGCAAGCAAGACGCAGGTCTCGGCTGCCAGGGAGTCCTGTCTCCTAACGATGAAGCCCATGGTTTCTCTCGAGTTCTCACTGCGCTTGCGGAGTTGGGGTGCCTGCAACCCCGCGGCCCCCTGCACTCACCTCCTGCCCTTGTGTACCCGGCTCAGGTCCACTGAGTCCCTGCTGAACACGTCAAACTCATCATTCTGGAAGATGTTGTGACGCGATGTCAGCAGAGGCGTCGGGTCGGGCTTTATCTGTCTGGGGGGAGGGGGCACGGAAAGCAGTGTAAGGGGCACTTGCCAGCTAATGCCCACCTGTACCCCACTCCCCCTTACCACTCGCCTTCAACAGCCACACCTGGGACACAATCTAAACACCTGCCCTGTCTGGCCCCTGCCTGGAATGACCCACACCTTACACAAGGTTCCCCTCAGTCCCGCTGCCCACTCACACCAATTTTCTTAAAAGTCCCCTCCCTCATTTGCTGCTCACGACAGCCCTATGGGATAGGCAGCCAGAGATCACTCGACCTCTTTGTGCCTCAGTGCCTTCATCTGTAAAATGGGCACAAAGAGGCTGAAAAGCTTGTCCAAAGGCAGAGCTAACTCAATCCACTTGTTTGATAAACATCATTTGTTCATGGAAGAAATACCCATTCACGCACTCATTCTTGCTGCCCCACGGGCTCCTAGGGAAGCAGTGGGCCAAACTCAGAAAGGGTCGATATGGAGGAGGTGAGAAACTTTGCTCTCCTTCCTCAGGGATCTCCTGGGAAGTGGCAATGACGGGGCAGGCCAGTCACGCAGGAGCTCTGCAGGGCTCAGCAACCCCTCACATCCCGTGTCTAATCCTCTTCCCACAAAGTGCGGCAGGGAAGTCCAGCTGTGCGCTCTGCCCCGCGGGCGCCCGTGAGAACCTCCCGAGGGGACATCAGTTTAAATGGTCGGGAAACACCGCTCTGGGGGACAGAGCAAGCTGAGTCCTGGGACACGAGGGAAGGAAGAGGGGGAAGCAGAGCAGCGAAGACGGGGCCCTGCCAAGGCCCGCGGAGCGCCTCTGGCCAGGCCCCGGGCAGGCGGGCGGCCAGGAGCCTCCTCCCGCATCTCCCCACCTGTCCAGGCCGCGGTCCAGCTGGCGGAGGGCAGGGGCCAGCCGCTCCTCCAGGATGTCGTTGATGACCTGCTCCGGGTCGTAGCCGCAGTGCTCCAGGCAGGCCAGGATGAAGCCCTCCCCGAGGTCCGGGAGCAGGTCCTTCACTTGGGAGATGAGCGAGTCCAGCTCCACGCCACTCACGGGGGGGCCCAGGGCGGCAGCGGCCCCCAAGCACTGGGGGGAGGGGGGGAAGGTGAGGCCAGGTGCGTGCTGGGGCAACAGGCCCCGAACGGCACTGGACCAGGAATCCGGGGACCTGGTGCGAGTCCTGCCCTTATAGCCATCGGCCCTTTGCCAAGTGCCAAGTCCCTCCGAGCCTCCGCCTCCTCGCTGGGGGAAGGGGCTCTAGGACTGACCAGCCGAGCTGCCCCCCCCCCCCCCGAGCCTCCGCCTCCTCCCTGGGGGAAGGGGCTCTAGGACTGACCAGACGAGCTGCCCCCGCCCCCCCAGAGCCTCCGCCTCCTCCCTGGGGGAAGGGGCTCTAGGACTGACCAGCCGAGCTGCCCCCCCCCCCCCAGCCTCCGCCTCCTCGCTGGGGGAAGGGGCTCTAGGACTGACCAGCCGAGCTGCCCCCGCCCCCCCAAGCCTCCGCCTCCTCGCTGGGGGAAGGGGCTCTAGGACTGACCAGCCGAGCTGCCCCCCCCCCCCCCAGCCTCAGCCTCCTCCTTGTGAACAGCACTCATACGCCGCCGCCTCAGAGTCGCTGGGGACGGTGTAAGGAGCTCATGCTCATAAGGAGCCGTGCGCAGAGCCCGGCACCGGCTCGACTCCCCACACACAGTCTCGGCTTCTCTGACCCAGGCCCCTTCACGCTAACCACGGCGGCCGGCCATGGGGGGGACGCAGCCACCAGTCCCGGGCCGTGGGGTGATGCTTCCCTGTAATCAGATGCTTCTCAATAAGGGCGCCTGTTTACAGACTGCTTGATGGGGCTTAATTTTGTTAGGCTTTTCATTTACGGAAATTCCCAAATAAAAAAGCAACAAAACCTTCCTGACTCAGATAAGCAGCCAAATGGGGAGGGGGGTGGGCAGAGGTGGCGGGACTGTCACTCCCCAAGGCCCTGCGACAGCACCTGGGCTCTGAGGAGCCTGTCAGTGTCTATTAACGAGGCACCGAGGGCCGGCCACGTTCAGGGAGCTCCACGCAGCCGCCCTGGGCGCCCCAACAACCTCAGGGAGGCGGGACGGCAACGAGCCCCACCTGACAGAGGAGGAACCAAGGCTCAGAGTGGGTGACGCTGCCGAAGGCCACACGGCTGGCGAGGGGCAGGACCCGGAGAGACCCGGGAGCTGCCTGACCCCAGAGACTGTGTGGTCTTACTCCCCAAGTCACGCTGCCTCCAGACACACGGGCAGAGTCCTGGGCTCGGCACAGCCACGGACCTGGTGGCTCTGGAAAAGCCTGAGAGAGGCAGCAGGAGAGGAGGGGCTCCGGGGGCCGCCGCCCTAGGGACGGGCTCCCAGGGGCCACGCAGGAGACCTGGCACCGCACCAGCTGCAGCCAGAGCGGAGCCACGGGACCTGCTCAGAGGATGGCTGCATCTGATGGGGGGAAACCGAGGCTGTGACAGCGTAGGAGACCAGCTCTCCTTAACTGGCCCAGCACGCCCAGCTCAGGACTATCTGAGGCAGCACAGGGTGACAGGCAGGGCGAGGCTGCCCATTATAACCCCCCCCCACCCCGCTCCCCCCAGCAAGGGCAGAAACCAAGAAGGGAGGTTTCCGCTGCCCCAACCCCTCAGACAGGATGAGGACAGGAGCGGCTGCCACGGGAGAAAGCGCCACTCCAGACACACCTCCTCCTCCTCCGAGTTCTCCGGATGTGAGGCCGGTCCCCTGACTGGCTCTGCGGTCGCCCCGACGCCATTAAGATCCTCGGCCCCTGGGGGGTCTTTCGCGTCTGTGGGTTTCCGTCGGTCCACCCCTTCCCACGCACTCTCAACCGCCTGGAGGATGTAGGCAGCCCGTGTCTCATCTCTGAGGATGTGTTAAGGGGTCTCTCTGGGGGACCACAGCCTCTCTGCCCCCTCAGCTCGGAGGCAGCTTCATTTCTCAATCCCTCCCCAGCATCTGATCACATGGCTGCGGCCAGGGCTGTCTGGGATGCACCCCGGGCACCAGCAAGGCACCTGGGCTGCCTGAGGAACCGGGCTCGGGCCTGGGCAGGGGCCCAGGGGAAGCCAGCTGTCTGTGTGTTCTCGGGTCAACTGCTCTCTGCTCCCCTGGGCCCCAGCAGCCCACCTCTGGCCTGGTCAGGCCAGGTCCCATCCCCGGGGCTGTGAGAAGGATACAAGACGGACGAGGCCTGCTGCAGCAAGCTGACATCATCGGCCACCGGGAAGAGCGCATCGTAGTCCCGGAGGAACCTGCCAGACAGACAGCAGATGGGAGGCGAGGGCTGGGGCCACAGGGGCACTGGCCTGCTGTGGGCCACACCCCGTGTCTGCTGCCCAACCACAGATTCCAGAACCTTAGACCGTGGTGATGATGGCAGGGGCTCTGTTATGCAAGGTCTGTGGGGACTGATGAGGCACCATGGGCCTGTCCCGCTGCTGGTTCCAGCTCAGCCACACTCACCTCTTCTCCTGCAGCAAAGAGCTGAAGATCTGCAGGAAGTCTTCAATGAAGCCCTGAATGTTGTCACAGCTGCAACAGGACAGCAGGGATGAGCTCAGCCAACGCAGATGATCCGCAGTTCCATCCCGCCTGCCCCGCCCCGCCCCGCGCAAGGCCTCCGGCCAGTTGGAGGAAAGAGGCTTTTTCTTGGTTTCCCTTCCTGCTCAGCGATGGAGGCAGGAGAGGGGGCAGATCGTGAGGGCGATGGCCCTGCTGGGCTGGGGGTGGAGGCTTTCCCCCTGGGGGGCGGCGCCCAAGGGCTTACCTGCTTTCTAGGATGGGGAGAAGGCAGATCTGGTACAGGAGGATGTGAAAAACCTCCAGCAGCTTCTTCCTGGAGTGGGACAGCCTCTGCCACAGGTCACCCAGCAGCCTAGGAAGGCCGAGGGGAAGAGAGAAATAGAGATTTGAGAGACTAATCCCACTCCACCCAGCTCCTGCCCATACACACCCTGGGCTGAGCAGGCCTCACAGCTCACTGCTGACAGCAGCAGGGGGAAAAGGCTACAGGCTCTGAGGCTGGCTGGTTCCAGGGTCACTTCTAGTTCAAACCGTGGGCCCGGAGGCAGTGGGCCGTTAGCATGAGCTTAGAGCACCGCTGAGGGGAAAGGGCTGCGATGCCGGGGCCAGGAGGCTGCTGGGTAGGGACGCACCAGCCAAAGGTGCGTGGTCCTTGGTCCCACCTGTTGCCTTGGAGACGGGGATGCTGAAGCAGGGCCTGTGCTCCGGCTTCTCTCGCCCACAGCACCACCCAGAGTTTTGTCCCCGCCTCACCTGCTGTCTTCAAGCCTCCTCTTCTTAATTGCAGACTCCAGCTCGGGAATTGCTAGTTCGTAAAAGGAAGCGAGTCTGTGGAGGACACGTGGGTAAAGGCTACATTCGTTCATAGACACAGCACGTCACGAGGAAAGCAAGCAAACCCACGGGAGTGGGAAGGCGCGCTTCTTGCTCCCAAGTTATCTCGGCAATTTTCTCCTGGGGCGGCCCTGGCCCTTCTCCAAGCTCACCCCAACCCCAGCTTGTCCCCCTGTGCGGGTCCCAGGAAGTGACCAGCAGCCACGCCTCCCATTCAGATGGGAAACCATTCTAACAGGGCGATGAGACGGCCACCCAGACGCACTGAGGTTTGAGAAACACACGGGTCACTCTCTTTTTTGTGCTCAGAAACTTCTAGCCGCTGCCCACCTCCTCTGTCCTCAAGTCGTAACTCCTCTCACTGGTACATCCTCACCTGGCACAGCCCTGCTTCTCGTCACGGCGACCTCACACCCACACCCTCCCAGATGGAATGTGAGCTCTCCGTTCCAGCCACACGCTTCACCATCAGGCTCCCCCATGCGATTCCGCCTTCCCAGGACCAGAAGCACGGCACCAGAATACGCTGTCCTTGAATGTCAATGCAGCCACCTCTCTTCTGTAGAGCTACTTCTGTCTGAGCACCCTAGCTCCCCAAAGCCAGAAAGGCGGCCTGTGTGCCTAGGACAGTGCTGCATCCGTAGCACGTACTCTGTGAACGTCTACAGGCAAATGTTTGTCAACTGGCTGATTTCTGGCCACTTCTAGCCTAGTGTAATGCCGCATGTAGCAGAGGGTGACCGGCCAAAAGAGGCCTTAGTGGGCCCCTGGGATGGCACGCAGAAGACAGAGCGGGCGGTTTGGCCCACATGCAGGTGTTACTAGGATACACTGCAGGGGGGAGAGTCAGGTGGAACAACTCCTATGGAGGGTGACTGGGCGAGCTCTACAAAAATTTAAAATGCATATATCATCGGCCCCTGCAATGCTACTTCTAGGAATTTGGCCCTCAGAAATACTTGCAGAAGTGCAAGATGGGTGTGCAAAGTTACTCTTTTGTTTTGTTTTTATGATTTATAATTTGATTTTTCTTTTTTTTTTTTTAAAAAAAATATATTTTATTGATTTTTTTACAGAGAGGAAGGGAAAAGGACAGAGAGTTAGAAACATCGATGAGAGAGAGACATCAACTAGCTGCCTCCTGCACACTCCCCACTGGGGATGTGCCCGCAACCAAAGTACATGCCCTTGACCGGAATCGAACCTGGGACCCTTGAGTCCGCAGGTCGACGCTCTATCCACTGAGCCAAACCAGCTAGGGCTATAATTTGATTTTTCAATTACAGTTTACATTCAGTATTATTTTGTATTAGTTTCAGGTGCACAACATAGTGTTAGACAACCAAAAAGTTATTCCTTATAGCATTTTTTTTGTAATAGCGAATGTCTGAAAAAAATCCTATAGGTTCATCTATGGGGTCTGGTATCCCATACAATGGAATTCTACCCAGCCATACCAGACATTGAGGGTGCTTTATGCACTGACATACATCAAATTTAAAAGTACAATGCAAACAGCACATAGAGCACTCATATGCCAGCAATACGTTTTTAAAAGCGGCTGGGCGATATATAGTACAACTATTTGCTTATACATGCCTATTTATATGCATATCTCTGGAAAATTCCACATAAAAACTAAGGACAATGGTTCTATATGAGGAACAGATTCGAGTAGGGGAGAGTGAGGCGTCACTATATATTTCATACTTTTTTGAGTTTTGAACTGTGTGCATGTATTATTCATTCATAAAACAAAAAGACAGAGAGAGAGAAAGAGATTCAGATGCACTCAGTACATACTCAAGAGAAAGGAGAAGGCTGCCATGAGAGGGATTAGCAAAGCTGTTGGCGACTCGTCCCTCGCAGAAAGTTCTCGGGATGAGGTCATGCATTTGCTCAGTGGGCGTGCCTGGCCTCCAGCACGGCTGAACAGGCTGGGCCAGCCCCAGGCTGTGTGTGGGTCAGAGGCAGTGTCACTTGGCAAACATGCTTCCCTCTCTTCCCCCCTCACCCCGAGAGGCCCAGCTGCTCCCCTGCCTCCACTGTCCCTTACAGGAAAGTCCGCTCTCCCAAAAATTACCCCCAACTCCAAAGACCCTTTCAAAAGCTCCCTGTGCCACATTTGGGAAGATCTGCAACAAAATGGGGAAAGCCTGTGAGAAGTGAAGATCAGCAGGCACTGAAGTCTAAGAATCACATGATCTGTCAGTGATTTTCATTTCCTACCTTTTGGGATTTTCCAAATTCCTACAAGCATTGGCCAGATTTACCAGGAGAAAAGATGCCTTTTCAACAAAACGGACAGCTACAGTGCCAGCCTAACCCCTTTCTTGGGAAAGCATCGATCAATGCTTTATCCTAACATCCTTGGGGAGGCTGATCAATCTTAACATCTGATCTTCACCAGCTGAGGTGATCCAATACGAGTCAGACACCGCTGCCACCTCTGGCACATGTCAGCGCTAGATAAATGTTTTGTTGCATGGGCGAGTCAACGACTGAATGGACTGGCGGCTGGGCAGACAGAGCTGGACAGCTCCCAGAAGCTCCTTCAGACAGTGGAGGAAGATGCCTGGCAAGAGCAATAGCCAGAGGCCAGCCCCGCGGTTGCCAGGCAACGTGCAGGTTACCAGCCCGCGTCCTGCACCCCTTTCTTCCTGCACCAGGAACAGATGCTCATGGTGCTAAGGGGGCGAAGAGGACTCCCCCTGCTCCATGTCCTCTCCGCCTCTCTCTTCGTCCCAACAGGATCTTCCTATGACTTCTTTGGACAACACTTCCAGCGGCTCCCTTCTGCCTACAGAATAAAGGCCCCGCTCCCTGACAGCGTGTTCAAGGCGCCTCTCAGTCTGACTTATCCCAGCTTCCCCCCAACCCCGACCCCAGTATCTCTCTGTTACCCACCCTGTTTCCCGCTGCCCTGGTCTCTCCAACCCCCGCCACGTGTCACCCTCCACTCCCTGGCTTTCCCAGGAACGCACTCTGGGCCTTCACTCCACCGGCCTGGCCTGCCCTTTCTGCCACTGCAACCTTTCTCTGTCTGGAAGGTTTTAGCTCATTCTTCCAAACCTTGTTTGAGGATCTCCATGAAACCTCGTATTTCACCAGGCAGAATTCTGCTTCCCTCCTCGGTGTTCCCAGAGCATTTCCTAATGTGGCCACCCAGCCCGCCCACGAGTAAACATCTCTGCTTGTCTCCCTGCGTGTGTCTCTCTGCCCTGGACTGGATGCTGAGGTCCGCAGACCATTTCTTGTCTATTACTCCCGTGCGCCTGCCCAGGACAGGGGCCTTGAAATCAAATAGAACTGAATGGAATTGCCCTATTCTTGGTGGTTGTTTTCCCCCCTCTACCCTCAGAGTGTTTCTCAATGCAGGCTCACACCAACAGGAGTCTGATCTGTCTTCTTTACTGCTGTGTCCCCAGGCTGTAGGGCTCTAAGCACCCAGTAAACACCTGCTGAATGAGGATGCGAACTAGAACCTCTACTTCATCCGCCAGAACGATCGCGGTACCTGTAACAGAAGTCGTGTTTCTGGAAGGTTTGGCAAGCCAAAGGGAAGATGTCCAGAAAGGCCCAGAGCGTAGTGCAGGTGTCACAAAGGTAGAGAACAATGTCCTTTAACTCCTGTTGCCAAAAGGAAACACCGTTATTCTCCTCGCCCCGTTACAGCTCTGTAGAGGGCAGGAGACAAAGCTGACAGAGCCAGGGGTCCCCAACAGGCAGAGAGATAGATGCCTTGTGGTGGGAGAGCAGGGAGGTCTGGGCAAGGCCTGGCTGCCCGTCTCTACGAGCACAATCGGGGTAAGTCACTCACTCTCCCTAAGCCTCAGCCTGGCCACCACAGCTCCAATGGGGGTACACCCCGTGGTCTCTAGGGTTACTTCTAGCTCCAGGGTCAGATGGTTCTCTCTGCTAAACTGAAGGAGAATCAACCCTGAGTCTGAACACAACGCCTGCGGTCCCACACAAAGTACATCCCAGTGAGGACAAGAATAGCAAGCCCACGCTTTCCTTGCATTTTGAAGAGGGTGTTCAGGATCAGGAGTGCTTTCTCAGACACTTCTTGGTCGTCATGACCACTTATGAGCCGGGCAGCTGTTAGACTCTCTATTGTGCAGACAGGAACCGGAGGGTCAGAGGGTGGAAAGGACCTGCTCCCACAGCACCTGGTGCGGGCGGCCCTTTCTGAAACATTTAATGCCTGTTTCCCAGGAGACCACGAGCTCCAGGCCGGCAGCTCCCGGCTGCCGCATTCCTGCTCTGTCTCTGGTGCTCATTTACCTCCTGCCTGTCATCTCCAGGCGACTCTAAGTTCCACGGGAGCAGGCGACATGTCTGCTTCTGCGACTGCCTTACTCCCAAGGCCCAGCACAGGGCCTGGCACATGCCAGGGGCTCCGCAGTACAAAGTCACCGAATGAATGAACAGCTCAAACAATAGTACACGAATGAACCTGTTGAACTGCACTGAACTCCTGCCCCCTGAATTCTAGTTCCCTGTTCGCTCCACTACTCCCTACATGAAGCTTCCAGAGGAGAATGGAAGCCTGCCGAAGTGCTCTTAACGTGACAGGAACAGCTGCTTATGGGACTGGGGAAAAGGAACCGCGAGCAGGGCAACCTCACCGGGAGAGGCATGTCACTGGGGGTCAACCGGCCCCGCTCTTCAAGCTTCTGGGGTGTGGAGCTGGCCCCGTCCCCTTGCAAGCCGCTGTGCTGGAGGATATTGCTGAAGACCTGTGAGACACAGAGGTGATGCTCCCACCAGCTCGAACCAGCAGCTCGGACCCCTGCCTCCCCAGGGGTGGGTGATCTGAAACCTAAGCCAGGGCTCCCAGGACACCAGCTGAGACAATGACCTGCTCAGAGAGCAGGGTCAGAGTGGACACTGTGAAGTAGAGATGAGGGGGGTATTCTCTTCACAGGATTACGGTGAGGATTAAAAAGATAAAATGTACGTAGAGCCCCCAGAATCACGCAGATGTTATCCGACTGGAGAGGCTGGGCAAGTGCACGATAATATTGAAGATATATATTCAGTAATATACAATGTGTTTTTCGATCCCCTGTAGATGGCTTTTATGGGAACTATACTGAAATAAAAGACAAATCAACAGTGAGGGGACACAGCGCGGATGGTAAAATCATGTAAACCTTCAGCTGACTGTGCCATCTGTAAGCATGCTAGTGTCCCCCAGAGTCCTTCGGGAACTGGCTCCAGGACCCCCGCCGATACCAAAACTCACAGATGTTCAAGTCCCTTATATAAAGTGGCGTTGTATTTGCATATAACCTACACCCATCATCCTGTATACTTTAAATCATCTCTAGATTACTTATAATGCCTAATCCAATGTAAACCCTATATAAATAGTGGTTATACTGTGTGGTTTAAGAAATGACAAGAAAAGAAGTCTGTACATTTTCAGCACAGACACGGCCATCAGAGGCCTAACTGTTTAGTACACATCAGCAGCAATGTAACATTTAGAAAAATACACTTTCGATCTATGGTTGATTCAATCCCTTATTTGATTCAAGCCCTTATTTGAGAAACCCAGCTCTCTGGCGGGGTTCTTAGAGGCTTATGGCTGTCAGCAAACACAAGCCTTTCTGCACGAGGGCAGCACTTGACGGCCCTCAGAGCTCAATCCTGTTCAAGGGGGGAAAGAGCGAACGTGAAGTGTGTGTGAGCAGCAGGACACGGAGACCTTCTGGGGAGGGGAGGGCTGTGGGAAGTAACCCTTTCCCCCAGGCTCAGCAAGGTCAAGGTCACCACCAGGTGGGGCGGGGGTCTGCTTCCCAAGCTCATCCTCCCCTGGGCAGGGCTGAGAGCTGGTACCTGAAGGATGGTGGGCATGCTCTCATCCAGGTCACTGTAGTAACTTGGCTGCTGGTTAAAGATGTTTCCTGAAAAGAGAAGCGAACGGTAGAAATTGGGGAAGGAGAGGGGGGCGGAGAGGATATAGTACAGCGGGTTACCAGCAGGTTCTGTGACCTCTCTTCCCTCTCCTAAGCCTGCGTGAACTAGAGCAGTCCTGGCCCCGGGCCCTGCTGGCACCCAGCTTCGGCCCAGCCTAGAAACTTCCCAGGGCGGGGAGGAACCTGCTTGGTACAAGTTAACCTTTTAAGCACCTCTGCCCAGCGAGTTACGCAAAAGGCCTGCCCTGGTCAGACCAGCTCGCTGACACCCCCAGGGAGGGATCACACTTGGGCAGTGTGCCTGACGTGACAGCATCGGCTTTGGAAGTGGGAGTCAGCCATCTCTCTGCTCAAGAAATCTGGATCCTGGATTCTTGCCAGGCCACGTCTTCAATAATGTGAAGGAATCTAAGGAGACATTTCTTGGGAAACTCTCTCACCCTCTGCTTTTGAATATGCTGGCCATGCCAAGCGATCCCACTCCAAGGAGAGAGGCCTGCAAGGGACCTGACACCCTCCCCATTCCTGGCATCACACCTCCTCCTCTGCACCCTCCTCAACCTCAGAGAGCAAGCCCTGTCCCCTCCTTCTCTAGGAAGAGACCTCCCATAAGGCAGGTGTCACCTTCTCCAGGCAGTGTCTCCTGACCCAGGCATCAGGAGCCGGTCTCCTCCCATCATTCCCAGGGCCACACCATGGTCCCCTCTGAACCCGACCAGCCCGGCCTGGGAGAAGGCACTCTCTCAGATCTTTCCAATGCTTAAGCCCGGGTAACAGGGGTTTTTATAAGCGTCAAAAGAGATCAAATTTCACAATCTGCCCTTGGGGACTCTGAAGTCCCCTTCCTCTCCTTTATCTGATTCTGACAATGGCGAAGAACTTCAATCTCTTAAAGGAATAATTTAAAAGGCCTGGGACAGCACCCTGGCACGTGTGGCTCAGTTGGTTGGAGCATCATCCCATGCACCAAAGGGTAGAGGTAAAATCATGTAAATCTTTTACTGCTTACCGGTCAGGGCGCATACCCAGGTCTTGGGTTTGACCCCCCCGTTAGGACATGGGAGGCAACAGATCGATGTTTCTCTCTCCCTCTCCCTTCCTCTCTCTCTAGAATCAATGAAGGACATATCCTCGGGTGAGGATTTTTAAAATAATTAATTAATTTTTAAAAAATGGGACAGCAATGGCATCCTCAGAAATGTCGTTCCTCAGCCGAAACAGTTCAGAAACCCAAGGTGAGGAGAAAGTATTGGGTGTTTGGAAGACTGTGTCCTACAATTTCAAGGTGAGCAAGACGGACAGGGGTGCCCGGGGTGAGCACCTCTCCACGCAGGGCCCGCTGCCATGAGCTGCGATTCAAAGGGCATTGTTCCCTCTGTCGCATCCCGACAAAGCTCCTGTCTCTGATGGAGCCTTCCAGCCCACTGCCTCCGGACAGGAGCCAACTGCTGACGTCAGTCCTTTCACAACTCAGAGAGTCCGCTCTGAACTCTGCCCCCGTCTGTTCCCAGCAACAATGCAAATCATGTCAGTTCTGAGGCGGCCCCAGCATCCCTGAGGCAGGGAGTGGCGAGGAACAAGAGCTAGGGAGTCAGGCCTACGTGACATCAATCCCAGCTCGGCCACTTGTTAGTCACGGCCTCTTACACTTGAAGCTCAGTGTCCTTGTCTGTAAATGGGGAGGTGACAGCACTACATCCCAGGGCTGGTGAGGATCAACTGACATAACACGAGGAGTGCTCAGCCCCCCAGTGAACACGCAGATACAGGCTAGCTGTCACTGCTGCTCTTCTGTTACCAGCTTCCCCACTCCTTCAACTGTTCAACTCACAGCCTCACACGAAGACTCCAAGGTCCCTGAGGAACCGTGTGGGACAGCTTTCTGTCTCCACTCCCCCAGCACCACCAGCCACTTATTTCAGAGTCGACACACATACATCTAAGCCATTTCCAAGCACCACCACCACTGCTGCTCCGAATGCCCCCGCACTCCTCTAGGCGCCACCTCTGGAACCTCTGGTTTGATTTATGGGGCCAACTCCATGCACCCCCCAGCCCCACACCCGACACACCTATCATCTTCTTGAGCAGCGGCGAGTTGCCTTTTCCAAAGAGCACGCAGAGGTCCAGGATCTTTGGGATGTCAAACAGGAAGTTATTGTAGAGGATTTCTCCAAACGCAGAGGGGGAAATGAAGTGATCCTAGGAGCCGGGCAGAGAGAGGGTGAGAGACCGTCTGAATGCAGATGCATCGTAAAGTAAGAGCAAACGAGGAGAAACAGCCTGCAGGCCCACCACAGGGACTGGATAGCGAATGAAGCTCCATCCACACTGTGGACACGTCTGAGACTCCTACATTGCCCTGGGGCAACAGCCATTTCATGTAAAAAGAAGCAGAAGTACACGGTGCAACAGTTGGTTGGGGGTTCATTCTAAAACAGTTATGGGTGAATTACCAGGATGTCTGGGATCACTTTCAAATACTCCAGAAAGACAAAAATCTCCGGAGGAGAGAGAAAATGAGATCGGCAAAATGTAGGTAACTGTTTAAGTTGGGTGATGGGTACATGGGGTTCATTATGCTTTTGTGATTTTTGAAAATTTCCATACTAAAAAAGTTTTAAAGACCCCACAAGATCCTATTTTTAAAATAAATACACTCACACATACACACACACACACACACATCCCGCTACTGAAAGGGGAAAAAAAATTCCCTAAAGAAACAGGCACCTTTACAGTAGTTATTGGGGGGAGGGGATTTTGTAGGTAACCTTCAATATTGACAAAATATTTCTGTAATGTTTGTGTTGTTTAGAGACAATATTATTATTATTATTATTATTATTATTTATTGGTTTTAGAGAGAGGAAGGGAGAGAGAAACATTGATGTGAGAGAGAAACACTGATCAGCTGCCTCCCGAATGCACCCCAACTGGGGATTGAACCCACAACCTGGGTATGTGCCCTGACCAGGGATCGCATCCACCACCTTTTGGGGTACAGAATGACGCTCCAACCAACAGCCAGGGCAGCAGCATTATTATTTGTAAAACTGGGGGGTGGGAGGAGTAAAGGTTTTTAAACAGCACATACAAGTTCCTTTCAAAAATGAGATCAGTATTTTCACCCTCTGACGCACAAGAAAAGGCAGAGTCACGCGTCACCTGGCAAAGGGCCCTGGGCTCCCATTGAAGAAAACACTGGGTGTAATGCAGACGGACCCGGGGAGCCAGAGGGTAAGGGCGGTGGCACAGATTTCTTCCCCAACAGGGGGAATAAAGGCAGAGCGGAGACAAAGAGGAAACGCGATACTTCCAGAGCCTTCCTTCCCGGGACGGAGAGAACGCACAGGGGTGTTGGGTGTCGGGGGCGGCCTGTCACGGGACCAGGGGCTTACTTTGGATTCCTTGTGAGTGGACATGCGGAGGAAGGTGAGAAAAACGCTGCGATGGAGACGCTTCTGCATGTCAGCAACCTCGGGCGCCGGGGCCACCCACTCGTCGAACTTCCGGGGAACATGGTGCAGGTAGGAGTCCAGGCACTTCTGCAGGGTCTCGTCGAAGATGACCTGAGCCGGGCAACAGAGGAGAGCAGGGGTTGCTCCCCACACCCACGGGCTTGCGGGTGGACTGAGCGGGGCTCGTGGCCGTGGCCAACACTCCAACCCCAGGGGACTAAGAAGGTATGAATGAGCGAGGGCTACACAGTTTCTAAAAATGACACGTTGGAAGGTGCTGTATAAACATCATTAAGGTTGTGATACAAGACAGAGCCATCCAAACCACAATTGCCTGTTAAGGATCCAGCGAAAAAAGTAGAGAAAAAAGCCTCTCCTAGGAGGAGAGAGACAACGACAGAAACCAACCAACCACATGGCATGTGCTTTGTCTTAGCGTTAATTTTGAGAGAATGTTACCTGGCACCAGAATTTATCGTGAGGCAAGGCCAGGAGCCAGTCGAGGTCATTGGCTACGAAGGTGGCGCGTTCCAGGTACTCCTCCACTAGGGCGGGAATGTTGTCTTTAGGGGGCGGTTTGTATAACACAAAATACCGGTCTGCCTTCTGCTCGGGGTGCTACGGATCCAAAAACCACGTGTTAACGTGGCAGAGGTTAGTCAGCGAGGGCCCACCTGCCAACCCACAGCAATGACAACACTGGGCTGTTCCAACCGGTGACCCTCCAAGGAGCTTTTACGCATAAAGAACAAAGTGTGTCTGACAAAGGGGCTTGAGAACACTAGGCAGGCTTTAAAACCCATGTTTTTTTGGAGAATATTTTCATCCCATGGGGAAAGGTTAAGAAAAGAAAAAAGCAGGATACACACCTCTCTACTTAATATAATCAGCTTTTGTATTTAAAAAAAGCAGACATTAGATAGATAGATAGATAGATAGATAGATAGATAGATGATAGATAGAGAGAGAGAGAGATGACAGACAGACAGATAGATAGATGGATAGACAGATTTAACACATTCACATACAGGCTAAAAAATAAAAGTGTGTGGGGACAACACTCTAAAGCTGATAGTGGTTGTCTCTGGAGGGGGGATTTTGACTTGAAAATGCTTTCCAATTAGAAAAAATGAACATGTATTACTTTTTAAAATTATCTTTTAATTATATAAGTGAGACCTGAGCATCTTTTCTTTCAAAAGTTTACAACACTACAGAGAAGGTGAGCTGCCTGGGACTACACTCCCAGCCCCTGTGTCCGTCCATCCAGTGAGTGTCCTTGCAGACCCTTTGTAGGCGTTTACGTTAAAATATACCCACAGAAGGTATTTGTTTAGATGTTTCCTCACAAAAATGGTATCATTCTATATGTGTTATGCTATATCCATTTTATAATCAGGAAAAAACACCTGAGTAATTCTTTTTTTTTAAGAAAAGATGCCAACCACCACCCCAAGATCCTACTCTCCTTACCATCCTACAAGCATTGACTGGAACCCTGCTGCGGTATAGCACATGAAGAAAAGCAGCTGTGTGCTCAGAGACCATGCTGCAGCGGGGAAGATGCACATCTAAGCCATCAAGAGAGCATAAAACAGAGCAAGTGACAGCTCAGACCTGCCAGAGGGGCCGTGGGAGTGCAAAGGGGATTGACAAATGGAGGACAAGGGCCAGCTCGCTTCCCAGAGCAGGCAGCGTCTGAGTTGGGCCTTGGAGAATGAGAAAGATTTTTAGAATGAAGAAGCGGTATTTTTATGGAGGCATATAAATGCGCCATAAAAAAAAAGCGGGCACAGATTGCCCTGGGAGGTAGGAGAGGGATGTGGAGGGAGAGAACACAGGAGCGATGACAATAAAAGCCACCAGGTACCGAGGGCCTGTCCTGTGCCTGCTGACGAGTAGGCATGTTCCTCAGCCTTTCTTTCTTACCTACAACAACTGTTGAAAAGGGAGATAGGCCCTGACCGGTTAGGCTCAGTGGATAGAGCGTCGGCCTGCGGACTGAAAGGTCCCAGGTTCGATTCCGGTCAAGGGCATGTACCTTGGTTGCGGGCACATCCCCAGTGGGAGGTGTGCAGGAGGCAGCTGATCGATGTTTCTAACTCTCTATCCCTCTCCCTTCCTCTCTGTAAAAAATCAATAAAATATATTAAAAAAGAAAAGGGAGATAGCATTTTTTACAGGGGAGGAAACAAAGGCTCGGTAAGCCTCAGGAACTTTGCCAAAGTCACATGGCTAAGGAGGCAACTGAGGCAGCGTGTGCACCAAAGCGTACACTGCAGACCTACTAAGTGACCTGTGGGACCCATGTGCCATCCTGGTCTTGCTGCTTGTCCTGTTGAGGTGAGGAAGGACCAGATCCTAAGGCCTTTGAAGAACCTTGAATGCCAAGCTCAGAGTAGGGGCTTTATTTTGTAGGTAATGGGGGCCGTGGGAGATTTCAGGGCAGGGAGCGGCAGGCCCAGCTGTATCTTCAGCCCCCAGAGTTGGCTTAGGTCCCGCCTGCTCAAAGGAGCTTTCTGAACATTCTCTGCCCACCACACTTCTTGATAAGTAACCATCTGCACCGTCCTCCCACTGCTCCACTTAAACGAGTCTTGTCTTCCTCCAAAGACTTGCTTTGGGGTATTCAACAGCACCAAGTGTGCACTGTGCACACAGTAGGTACTCAATGAACATTAGCTTGGCCCATCGCCCTGCAAAGGCGGCACGGTGGCTGTCCCTTGGGGAGAGATCTCCTTGTCCCACGTTAGGACTAAAGACACAGATACAGGGTGGGTACAGACCTCACGGCAATCTTCTAGGAGCTTCCACGGCCAGCAGGGTAACCCTCTTTGGCATGGCCAGCAAGACTACTCCTCGTTCAGGCAACTGTCTCCCTCAGCTCATCCCTCTCCCACCCTACTCCCATTCAAGGCTCCTGTCACGGCCACTGTTACCACCATCATTACTGCGTGTTTACTACGTTCTAGTACAGTGCTTATTCAGACGTCTCGTGTAATCCTCATAGCCACCGCACAAAGCTGGTTCTATTATTACCCCTTTTAGATCCCGAGGCATGGAGAGTTTACGTAACTTGCCCAAAGTCACACAGCCAAGTATGCGTGACATCTGACTCAAAGCCCCCGGGATACTGTTGCCACCGCAGGTGACCGGTGGTTGGTATGGGAGTCAGGCTCTCTCAAAACAGCACACTCGGGTCCTCCTGCCAGACCCACCCTTTGCCGACTGCCCTGCCTGGCTAACCTTATTCATCCGTCAACACCCAGGTCAGGACCGCCCCCCTTAAGGAGCCTTCCCTGGCTGCGCAGGTCCTCCCACTGCTCCTGAGGCCCCCCTGCCCACACACCCCGCTTTGGTCTGGATCAGCAGCCTGGACTTCCTTGACCACCACCCTGATCACCCGGCAGAGAAGCTACTGGTCTGCTTTTCTCTCAGACCATGGGCAGCTCCAGGGCAGGAACCATGTCTTTTCTCTTTGCAGCTTCAGTGCCTGTCACAATGGCCGCTGGGTCCTTGACTCATTTACTGACTTTTCCTGGCCCTGGGAAGCCAGAATGAAGAGAAGGCACCAGGTCCCTGCTCTCCCGGAACCCACAGTCCAGCAACCCTGGTGTTCCGTGTGCGGGGAAGGACTGAGGTGGAAAATCAGACCCAACCACTCAAGGAACCCGTCTCCTCCAGTCCTGTCCACAGAACTTTCTGCAGTAATGGAGCTGCTCTACACCCGTGCAGGCCACCACTTCCCCCATGGGGCTACTTCACTTTAACTAAAGTTAAAATAAATGTCCAGTTCTTCAGTTGAACAATCCACATTTCAAGTGCTCAATTGTTATGTTTGGCAAATGTCTACCCTATGGACAGAAGAGTTTTCTATTTTCTGATCAATATCCTCCTTACATAAAAAGGTTACAAAAAAGAAACCAGAGGTTTTATAGCAGAAAGATGATGGGTCTGACCTCTAGAGTCAGCCTAGCTGGATTCCCCTCCTGGCTCCCCTAATTTCCTATTTCTGTGACCCTGAACTCTCTGTTTCCTCATCTGTGAGATTCGGACAACCAAAATACCTACTCACAGGGCTACGGTGCAGCTTACAAGAGATAATCCAGGTGAGTGTTTAGGAAGGTTTGGCCCAGCGTGAGTGCTCCGTGACTGCTAAGTACTATTAATAATACTCTTGGGAGCAATGGGCGGGCATGCGCAGCCTGGACGGTAGTTAGGAAGTAACAGGAAGCCATTCAGAAAGCAGGAAATAGAACACCAAGCTCTGCTTTCCCACGACTTGACTCCAGCCCCGGGAAAGGACTTCCTCCCACCTTGTGCGAGTAAGCTCATCTTCTTGGGAAAACAGCGAGTGGGCAGGGGGACTTCAGGCCCCGGGTCTGGCTCCTTCAGCAGCCTGGCACCTCCCTGTGGCTCTGATCTCCCTCTGCAGCTGGTAACTGGCATCCTCACAGCCTCCTTCGTTTTCAGTCTCACAGGCCCTGCCGAGTCTGTATGTGGCACGTCTCAGGCCATTGACATTGAGATCAAAGACGGCCGGACCTCTGAAATCAGTGTTCCCCCCGAAGTGTGGATAGCAGCTGAGATAGCTCTGAAAAAGGCCTACCTGAAACCTGAACCCCTCCCACAGGGCCAAATGCCCAAACCTGGCTTTGGGATGGATCCATTTCCAGGCCAGCTCAGGCTAGCCAGAACTGCCCTCCGACTCCGATTCAAAATGCAATGCTTTGGGGAAGGTGTGGGGAGGTGACAGGGAAAATACGACTCAAATTCAAGCTGCGGCTTGGAACGGAAACTTCTACGCTGAGCCTGGAAGGACCTGGTAGTGTCCCAGCTACTGGATTACTGACTGTGGCCCTGAGGTCACTCTTGGAACAGATAAAGAAGGAATTTACTTCGCACATTTGAAATTGCAAGAATGATAACATCAGTCCGAAAGGCCTCAAGGCACCGGCTCACCAGCGCTGGTGATGTCCTCAGCTTTCCTGTCTTCAGGTCCTTGTGGGTGATCTGGAGTTGGTCCAGGGGCAGAGCTGGCATTGTGCTGCGTGACCCTCCTGAAAGGAAGATGGATGGGAAGAGAGAGCAGACACATAGGCTCCTGGTGCAAGGGCCTGCTCTGGGCTGGTCCCGGGAGCAGCAACCGCTGGCCTCAAGGGACTCCTGACATGGGCCTCAAAGGCCTGGCTCCTGTACTAATCCAGGCTACAGTGACTACACACTCCCACCCTCTGAGGACCGGTCCCACGTGCCTAGATGATCTATTATGGCTCCAGCTCCGGGCCCTCCTTGGCCTGTGAGCTCTGTGAAGCCAGTGCCGGGCTCTCCTCCTCCTAACTTTCCCAGGACCAGCACAGGCTTGTGGAGAGGTGGCCTCATCCAAATGTTTGATGAACAACAAACTGAACAGGATACTTTTCTTATAACTCCAACCAGATTTGAAGTCTTTTGAGGGCGAAGCCATGGGCCTTTCCTCACTTGTGGAGTGTGTTTAGATTTTATAACCTGTCTAGGCTTCAGGGGGGAAGGACATGGATGGACAGGAGGATCAAGGAGGATGACAGAATTCACAGAAACGTGCCAGTACGAGCTCCTTTCTAGAGGCCCAGATCAGCCTCAGAGTCAGCGAACGGCAGATCGCCCGTCTTCCGTCTTTCCGTCCAATGCTCTTTTCACAATACCAGTGGCCTGACCCACTGGGGGCTGTGCACATTGCCTGTATCATGGAATGAAGTGAATCAGGCCCTTTATCAGACACGCCATAAACCGTCAGCATCGTCTCAGTGACAACATGAAGACACACTAAGGCCAGGATGAGGAGACCATCACCTCTGAGCCCTCGCAGAGAAGCCGAGGGACACGATCATCCATGCGTTACATGGACTATGTACGTATACATGGGTGTCCATATCTGACATCAGGCCAGGGCCTGGTGTTCGGAAGACACCCCGATAAGGCAGGGTCTCTTCCCTGAGGAAGCTCATGCCCCAAAATAATGACAACAGCCGCAGGAGCAACGTGCTTGTCGCGTGCTGGCAACTCCTGCTTGGCGTGAGCTCAGTCCACACGTGTTAACTCACTCTGCGTGTATTCACGCTCACACCAACTCTAAGGCTGGTTCTGTTAGCATCTTCACTTTACCAACGCGGAAATCGAGGGTAATGGCGCTAAGTGTTCGACACAGGACTTGGTGTGCAATAAGCACCTGATAAGTTCACTGGTTGTTACTCTAGGTCCCGCCATAGGCAGAGCGCCGTGGGCTTCTTCACTCAGTCAGTACTGACTTCATACGTGCAGGGTCCTGGGAGGGTCAGTGGCTATGATTTGGTGTGGCCAGAGCTGTAACAGGAAATCCCCAAAACAAGCACAGCGGAGAAAGGGAGAAATCACGGGGAAAGTGACCTGTCACCGGGTGGTCGAAGGGTAGCCTGACAAGATGGGAAGGAAGGGGATTCCAAGCAAAGAGCGAGCTTGAGCCAAGCCTCAGAGCCTGTGGCTTGAAGGAAGGGGAAGACATGGTTGGAAACGCCAGGTCAGGGAGGGGATGACAGACGTGGAGGGAAGATGCTGGAGAGGAAAGATGGGGCCAGTCTGTTTGTTGTTTAAAGCCGTAAATGCCATGCTAAAGATTCTGGCTTTTCACCTGCAGGCAGTGAGGAGCCATTTAAGTAGAGGAGAGACATGATCAGAAAGAGAAGGCAATAATAACCTGGTGGCAGGAGAGGCCTCCTAGGGACCACTGGAGAGCAAAGTGTACCTTAATCCTCTCACTCCTCCACCCACGGACTCCCGAGCACCTCTGATCCAGGCACTGAAGCCTGCAGGAGGCTAGGGTGCACACATAACAGGCCTGTCCCGCCCTGCATGGAACTTAGTCTTGAAAGGGAAGACAGCAAGGAGTCAAACAGCCATACAAACACGTAAATCGCAGCACCGTGATGTACGCTACGTAGGGGAGGCCCCTGCAGCTAGGACAGAGAACTGGCTGGGCAGAGGAAGGCTGCCAAGGAAGACGTGCGTTTTCCTCTAATGCGGCGGTTTTCAACCTTGGCTGCACATTAGAATCACCTGGCAATCTTTTAAAAATCCTGATTTCTGGGCCTCATCCTCCGGAAATTCTGTTTCTTTGTTATGGGGTGGGACCACAACATTAGTAACAAAGAAACAGAATTTCTGGAGGATGAGGCCCAGAAATCAGGATTTTAAAAAGATTGCCAGGTGATTCTCATGTGCAGCCAAGGTTGAGAACCACTGAGCTAACGTGTGGGCAGGAACTAACGAGGCACAGAAGGAACCTGACATTCCGAAAGAATAAGGACAATGATCGTGACAATGTCTGTGCCACCACTGTTGCAACTCCAGTGCCAAGCGGGACAGCAAGGCCGAGAGTTAGGAAAGCACCTTCTTTAGGAGGGGAGCTCGGGGCCAGCACCCATTACTGTAAGGCCAGGGCGCATTCCCAGGGCTGCGGCTGCCTCCGTTTCCCTGTCATCGCCCTTCTGGTCTCCACTCAACCTGACCCTCCTTGAGATGCCAGACGGTCCTGTCTCAAGCCTCCACTCCCCCCGTTCCTGTCGTATGTTCAATTATCTTGCGCCTTTACCCGTCACCGGCCGTCTCCTCCCGCTGGACTGTACACTCCATGCGGGCAGGAGTCTTGTCTGTCCGGTTCCGTTTGTATCCCCAAGTGCCCAGATCTGTGCCCGGCACGTAGGAGAAACGTGCCATCTATGTGTGGAACTAATGAATGAACCCCGAGGAAACTGAACGATGCACGGTCCCCTTGCCCCCGGATGGACTTGCGGGGACCGCGACTCATTCAAGTCACTCTGGGGCCGAGCCTCGAACCCCGATACTTTCTGGCCTCGTGGGGATCGGGGGTTGGGGGGCGACTCCAGGCCCCTGGGACAGCACAGCCGGGGCCCGGTCGTGGAGACAGAGAGTCCCGACGGCTCCTCCCCGGCCCGGTGCCCCGCATCCAGCCACGCACTCACCTCGGCGGCTCCACTACCGGCTCCGTGCCGCCGCCGCCGCCACCGCCGCCGCCGCGGTCCACGGTGACAGCTCCCCGTCCGCCGGCACTTCCGGGGTCAAACGGCGATTCCGCAGACGGTGATAGGAAGCCTCGACCCGGCCCCGCCCCCGGCGCCAACTGCCACCAGGAAGCCGGGCCCGAGGCCACGCCCCCAGACCGAAGACCCCGCCCCCACAGGGACCGGTCTGACTGTAGCCACGCCCTCATCGCGCCTTTCTCCGGGCGGATGGAAGGTAATATTCGGTTGTGATTCCATCTTTTGGAAAATCCAAGTAGCAGTGGTTCTCAACCTTCTGGCCCTTTAAATAAAGTTCCTCACGTTGTGACCCAACCATAAAATTATTTTCGTTGGCACTTCATAACTGTAATATTGCTACTGTGATGAATCGTAATGTAAATATCTGATATGCAGGATGGCCTTAGGCGACCCCTGTGAAAAGGTCGTTTGACCGCCAAAGGGGTCGCGACCCACAGGTTGAGAACCGCTTCATCTTTGTTTTCTCTCCTTTGCATGGAGAGATTAATGAGGAGTGTGACCTTCTAAAGGAGGCATCCTTGTCTGAGCTAACATGTGTCCAACTGGAACTAAATTAAAAAGCAGTTCTGGGTATTAATCATTTATTATTGCACGTGGCTTCTGTGGGTTAGGAATGAAAGGAAAAACAGTTGTTGAAGGATGAGACTTCAGCTCTGTCCTATTGCGCTGTGCAAAGCATGTGTGTTCTCAGCAGGCTCCCCTCAGCTCTCGTGTGCTGGGTGGGCTGGCTCCCACAGCGGCCTCACCGCCTCTGGCTCCTTAGAGCCACAGAGACCAGCAGCACTCTGATCTTTTTGATAACGTATTATTTTTATCATTGGAGAAAAATTGCATACTTTAAAGTAAAAAAAAAAAGGGGGGGGTGGCTGCTTGAATATCCGCACACCATAGCCCCTGGCTTCCTTCAGAGGGAGCCATCCAAAAGATCAAAGTGTCTTGGCCGGGTGGTTCTGGCTCAGGGTACCTCGTGAGGATGCCATCACATGTCAGAGGTGACTGCATTCATCGGAAGCCTTGATCAGAGCCGAAGAATCCGAGGTGGCTCCTTAATGTGGCTGGCAAGTTGGCACTGAAGAGGATGCTATTTAGTCTGAGTTTTCTGGAAATTTGGGAACCGACAGGTGGGAAGAGCTCAGGCAGTAGCAACGTATCTTCATGAGAAAATGAAAGAGCAGCCTGAAATCTCTTTGCAAAGTGTTCCATAAATATACTAATTTCACAATCCACGCTGTCCCCAGCCAGGAAATGCTGTCTCCAGCAGCTTTCTGTTAAGCCCAGCTTTCTCTCAGTAGGGCCTCGGCTCCATGTCTGTCCAATCCCCCTGCCCTCTGTCAAGTTCATCGGAGCTTCTGCTGACTCCAGAGGAATGCAGAGAACCATCACTGCGGTGAAAGTCTCAAATCACCCCCCAGGGCCCCTAATAACAAAACATCTGCTTGTCATTCTCCCTCACCCCTCTGGGCCTTAGTGAGAAAGCAGCGTTAAATGATGATAATGAGAACTTAAAAACGCAGTTTCCTGGCTTCGGAGAAGGGAGGCTTGATTTGAAGGCAGCTAATTATCCTCACATTATGATTTACAATGAGTGCTTGGTTGTCTTGCCTGCTGTTGCTGGTCTGTGAGCAAAAGTTGGAAAAATGGGGTGGGGTGGAGGGGGGGGGAGATGTCCACGTGAACACATTTTAGAAAGCGGAGGGCAGAGAATCCCCAAGTCAAAGTAAGACTCTTCTCGAACATGTGGTCCAAACCTCTCGTGTTACAGTTGAGGAAACTGAAGCCCAGAGAGGGGGTGGAACTGGCCCCGAGTCGCCCAGGAGCTGGTGACGGAAGTCTCCGCAGTGGCTCCAGCCTCAACCCGCCCGGGGAGATGAAAGGGTAGCTCTGTCTGCCCCACGCAGCTAAGAGGCTGCGCTCAGACCACCCATCCAAGTGGCAATTGGCACATCCGACCTTCCGATAATCACCAGTGTGGGACGATGGAGCCACGGAACCAGGAGGTGGAATAATTCCTCCAGGCCTGGGACAGAGTTTAAATTGGGGGGTGGCGGGGGGGTTAGGGAGGAAGATTGCTTCACTTCGATGATAAACACTCTTTATTGAGTAGCATCGTGGGCTTTTCATGCCGGATCAGCGTGGAAGAGCTGTCAAAAGGCAACTTCAGCTGTGCTGGTGATGGCTAAGGTTGATATTGATGCTTTTAACCATCAAACCTGGGTTGTAATGTAGTGGAATAGTGACAGCTCTTTAGCTCCCCCCCCCCCCCCCCCCCGCCCCAGAGCATCGAAAGAAGCTCCTGGAAGATATGCCTTGACCATTATGAAGAGGGCAACCTAGTCTTCCCATGTTTCTAGCTGTTTATTTCCTGGACCGCACAGTCCCCAGAGGGCTCCGGAATGCAGCCGCTCTGACCATCTCGTGTCTTAAGTGTCCTGGCTCCTCACACTTCAGGGCACTGGCGCATGCTGCTTCCTCTGTCTGAAATGCCCCCATGCTCCCCTCACCAACGTGAATCATCGTCATCTCTTCCTTCTGCAGGTGATTGTCGTGCCCTGATATGCACAGCCCCAGCCAGCTCCCTGCACGTCCCTGTGTAGCACTGATCACGGCTCATCATCTTATATATTTTTTTTTTGCACTTGATTGTTTAATCAACGACTGCCTCCCTCATTAGCCTATGCCTTCTGGCAAGTTAGGGACCTCATCTGTTTTGTTCACCAACCTTCTCTCCAGTTCTTAGCTTGGTACCTGGCACCTAATAGGGTGCAATGAATATTTGCTGAGTGGATGATTGAATCAAATTCCTAAGATGATCGAGACCAGCTCTTTCGATTGCAGGTAAAGAATCCATGGTCCAGAGCTAGGCAATGACTCACCCAGGGTTACACGCAGGCAACGCATAGCTCCTTGCTGATGATTCACTTCCTTAAAATACCTTGGCACCTCGGACAGGCCGTTTTTAAGGCAAGTTTCAGGGACTCAATTGTTTTTTATTTCCTGGACAATTGTAGTTCCTCTTCTTCTTCTTCTTTTTTTAAATTCTCACCTGAGGATATTTTTCCATTGACTTTAGAGAGAGTGGAAGAGAGAGAAAGACAGAGAGAAATATCGATGTGAGAGGAAACACACCGATTGGTTGCCTCCTGCACGCAGCCTGACCAGGGCCCGGGCCTGGGAGGAGCCTGCAATCGTGGTATGTGCCCTTGACCGGAATCAAACCCGGAACCCTTCGATCTGCTGGCTGACGCTCTATCCACTGAGCCAAACCGGCGAGGGCTGTAGTCCCTCTTTTGAACAGAAAGCTCCTCATGAGGCAGGAATTCGAAACCTGGGTCCATGAAGTGGCTCCCAGGATCTATGCACCCCTTGCATTGTACACGGATATATTGGGGAGCACTCTCCAGTAAAGGGGCTGCAAGACTTTCATCCCAGCCTCAAAAGAGCTACATGCCCACAGTGCTAAGAACCACTCACATCAGCTCTCTGCTGAATCTCCTCTTCCCGCTCAGCTAGAAAAGCCACACCATGGCCCGAGAAGCTCTGGTGTCAGAAACATGGCTTAGCGTGGGGCTGTGGGTAATCAATGGTCAGGGCTAAGGGACTCACACATGGGTCAGAGAGAAATGCTTTCCAGCTTCAGTTGGTTGGGGTTATCAGAGAAAGTTTCCTGGAACAGGTGCCAGTGCAGCTGGCTGTAATGAACTGTGAAGGTTAGAGAGCCTGGAAGCGGTATGGGGCTGGGGGGGTAGAGGAGGGATATAGGGTCCTGAGTTCCCTTCTGGAAGCCCCAATGCCCCATCGACTCCTTGTGCTCTAATCTAAACTGTCTAGTATCAGGGTCCTTTGGGTCCAGACACCAGCCTGGCTGTAGAGTTTCTCTTCCCCTCTCCCTCTGGAAGGCGCCGTGGGCTGCTTTGTGATGCCAGCGGCCCTTTGTCCCCTCTGTTGAATTATTCATCATGCGAGATGAATTATTAATTTCCAATTTTGTATAGCAAATGCCAGCCAAACAGGTAGAAATGGGGTTGGTATTCTGGGCATGGAGCCACAGACCTCCCCAGGTGCCCTGAAGCACAGGCCTTCGGGGCCAAGAAATTATGCAAGAATCTGCAAGGGGCTCACCCTGGAATGCATTGGATGGAGGGTGACGTTGGCACAAGAGCATGGTGCCCCTGGAATGGCTGGGCTCCCTCCTCCTCCTCCGGCTCCCAGGCCCCTTGCCTTCCTGGCAATCCCGACCGGCTCTGGTGCTAGGCTGCGCATGTCCAGCGTGGGCTCAGCTGTGTTCAGCAGAGTTTGAGTTTTTTGAGTTTGATTCTGAGCCTAGAATCCTAGTGGCCCTGGGTTAGTCACACCGGGATTCTCACCCTCAGCACTATTCATCTTTTGGCCAAGATACCTCTTTGTTGGGGACAGTTCTCTGCACTGTGAGATGTTGAGCAGCATTCCTGGCCTCTACCCACTACAGGCCAGCAGCACACCTCCCTCTCCCCCGAGTCGTGGTGACCAAAAAGGTCTCTAGATATTGGCAAGCGTCCCCTGTGGGGCAAAACTGCTCCCACTTGATGACCGCTAGGTTGGTTCTGTCACTTTTTTCATTCTTTTTTTTTTCTTTTTCTTTTTCCTTCATCTCATCTGTGAAGTGGAGACTCAAGTAGTCATTAACGGGGTGAGATGATGATGATCCAATGAGAACACATATGTGAATTCTCAGCTTGTTTGGAGTGTCCTCCCCGGGACTTTTCTGTTATAGGAATTGATGGTTCTCTTTTCTGCTCAAGTCCATGTCTCGGTTAAGATTGTGTTCAGCTGCCAGTAACGGAACATGCACCTTAAGTTGACTTGGACCTTGAAGGGCAATGATTGGTTCACATAAATGGAGACATCAGAAGTAGGTTGAGCTTTCAGGTTTGGTTGATTCAACAACTCACCCATGTCCTCATCCTCCGGGACCAGTTCTTTCTGTCTTTGGGCTCTGCCGTACACAGCGAGGGCTCTGACT